CCTGTGAATGAAATACTCTGTTGGGTTATGTATTCTCTTCCTCGGAATATACAAACTTTTTGTTTCGAGTATTGCGATTATGCACAGATTCTGTAGTTTGGAAGAACCCGTTCAAAAACAATTGGTGCATTTCCATTTTTATAATTATGCATAAACATTGCAATATATTTATCAAATAAGAGATAAACAAAATGTTAAGTCTTTTTAAAAAATAAAAAAATGAAGTGAGGGGTGAAAATAGTATGTTTTGTATGCAGCTCTTAGTGCTTTATTTTGTAGCTTAAATCTATAGCCTCTGGAGATGGGTACGGTAATATTTGCAGATTCCCATTCCCAAGAAGGGGATAATTTAAGCAAAGGAAGAAGCGATGGTTTATAAATAGCAATTATCATATTAGTAGGTAGAAAATATTTCAGTTTTTAAATAAGACCAGTCTTTTTTTTTTAAATATCTTTTTGGCAATATTGTCAATATGGCAATTAAAATTAAGATGACAGTCAAGGTTAACACCAAGAAATTTCACAACAATGGTTTCTTCGATAATTTTGTGATTCCAAATAAGGACTGGAGTTGTAGTTTGGTGTAGCTAGGAAGTTTGTCTTCCAATCCCAGGGCCCTGGTTCAAGTTATGTTAAGTGCAGGGCTCTATTCTCACGACTAAAAACTATTCCACTCCCTAAACCACTTAACGAGATTTAGGTTATGTAGAGCATCGTATATGCTTGTCTTGAGAAACGGATTATTGCTATAAATATAGAAAAGTAATTAAGTTTGCTATTGGAAATCGATGGCCTGTGCCTAAATGGATAGGTAAATAAATTCCCAGGATATTACATGCCCATAGGCCTGTCTACTTGTTATTCTTACATGCATTAGTTTTTGTAAAAATGCAGCAACCGCGCTAAGCCTACTTAACAGTTATTTATTTCACTTTCAGGTGCCCATTGTCCAATGGTTGTCTCCCATGGTTTCCTTAATGTTATTGTGTTTTGAAAAGGTTACACTAGGTTTTCTTTTATGTATTGGGATACAAAAATAAAATGTTGTCGTATCCTTCATTATCGTTCGTTAATAAAAAAAAGGATTTATGTAGTGCCTCTAAAAAGGATGTGATTGTGTTGAATTATTCAATGAAATCTACAAATTAGTTTAGGATAAACTAATTTCCCAGCATGTCTTATTGAGTTATTATTGCATTGTTAATTTTGTATGACTCGTAAAATATTCTTTTCTTCAGGGAAAAAGGAATCCATCGGTCCGTGTTTCAAGATTAGCACGCTACAGTGGGTACCCTTGCGACGTTTTGTGCTGCAATTCATCACCGTTGTCTTCATTGGCATAGGCGTATTTGCTGCTATCCCATCGTAGACATGAGACCAAGTCATTTGTCAGTGATTACTGATACCCTGCCAGTGCATCCGCCATCCCCTGGACGAGACACATGGCCGTTGCCTGGTAGCTCCTGCTACGCCCTACGGGCGGCAGTTACCGACCTGTCGTTTTGGAATGACTTTCAAGCGGAGAAAATCGGTAGCGGCTTTTTCGCAGATGTTTATAAGGTTAGAATCGTTATTGCTTTGACCAATTAAAAGCAGGTGAAGCGCACTTTTTAGATCATATTTATGGTACTCTATACAAGACTTTCAGAGTAATTAGCTGTAATTAGAGCGAATAATTTCGTGTCATACGGTATTGGCTCTTAGCTTATTAGTTACATGGGGCTATAATAACATATTTCCATTAAGAAAGTGTAATGCTAATTCCCCATGCTTCATATTGTTTCGCTAGCAATGAAGCTTCAATCTTCAACCTCTTCCATCTTTTCCTCCTGCATGAGTTTTTCTTAACCAAAAACTCAAATGATTACGGTTTTTAAGACTAAAAATACTCCAATCCCTAAGCCTCACAAAGAGCCTGGCCTCGGCTTATAAAGAATTGTTTATTATCCTGTGATCGGCGAGCTGCTGTGTGATATACGAATGAATATACGAATGAAATATAATATTAATTAATTAATTAAAATATTCAAACGGCTATTATTGATTAGGACATAGGCCTAAATATTGAAGATTGTAATTACAAAGTTTATTAATGGTTACCATAGTAGTCCTGGCTTCTAAAAATGGTGCTCAGAAAATATTAATATTGATTAATACATTGAACACATGGATAACACAGTGGACCTTGAACCCGTCTTATTGATCATGCTAAGCACAGTCGCCATCAGCTGCGTTTGTTTTCCTTAATAAATATTTATATCACGTTTAAATACCAGTGCATCAATGATTAAAAATAAAACAGATGGAGATGGGTTACCCAGAAAGTATTTCCCAATTGCGAGAGTGCGGTAGATAATGTGTCCCGTCACTTGATTCCGTCATTGGATTTTTTTTTTAAAGTATAAATCAACTCTACAGACAGTATCACACACAAGTTAAACATGCCACATTACAAAATCAAATCATTATTAAAGAGATGGAAACAACCAATATATTTGGTCTAAATCATAGACGAAAGCCTAGTTCGCAATTTGACGCGTTGTAACACAAACGCAACGAAGACACTAATTAACAAATTCATGATGCCGACGCATATAATTGCTCTCGTGTGAACCAAGCCGGGAACCAAGCGTTTGTGTCGACGTCTAAATTTATCTGTCTGAATATCAAAGCTTTAACCTCTATCCACACGATTACCTATGATTTGCCCATATTAGGCCTATATGGACATCATAATTGTCACACATAAAATATGCTATATGCTGTTATACGTCATGAAATGGAAATAAGAACAGACGTAAATACGACACTGCCTGAAATTAAATTGTTAAGAAATTACAAGATTTGTTTTAAAGGAAGTACATTGGTATATATGTGAATGTTTAAGGTTTTAAAAAATGTTGTGAATAAATGTGGCTTTGCCAGAACAGAAAAAAAAATTGTTATCATCATGTCCATATATGGATGTGATGTGACATGATTATGCTCTTTAGTTTGGGCAATTCACACGAGTTTGTAATATACCGTGCAACTCGACAGTCATTCATGAGAGACAGAAGTTCAGCAAAAAAGGAATTTAACTGTTTTATAGCATTATTATACAGTAACAGTGTAATCAGAGATGTTTCCCATTACTTTCATGCCTATCGTCACAATAATCAATTACCGATATTATTGTTGTATTTACATGAAAGAATAACATGTCGCATTTACTTATAATTTCGTTAATGTTGTCTTTAAAAAGTATACTGTAATATTTTGATTGTTGCTAATGAAAATAAAATGCTATTCCATGAGCGTGAAATAATACTAATAATTACATAATATGGTACGGTAGTATTTAATTTGAATATGAATTTTGAATCACTGTTATGTCCATGTCATCATCTTATTATTATAAGTAATCATAATTATTAGCTTTCATATAAACAGAATAAGACAGGCATAGCCGTGTTGTCGTGTATTATTTATACATCTTCATCATCAATTACATCCAGTTACGGTGAACTGGTTTCCAATTATAAAGTTTCATTCATACTCATAAAGACAATTATTGAGATCAATTTTACTTGAATTGATATGTCGTTTGTTTAGAATTATTTATATTTTTATTAACACTCGTTGTGCGGATATAGTAAATGTAATTAATCAAGGTTTATTGATTTTCTTCCTGTTCTTGTTATTCTGTTTCTCTACCGTGAGTATATCAGTCTGTGATGGAGTTTTATCAAAGGGAATTGTATTTTTTGTGGGGTGGTGGGATTTTAACCAGCAATTTATCGTTAGGCAAGCATTTTGGCATTATAGTAATGAAAAATCGAAGCTGCGATCCATTCGGATATTCCCACCTGACCCCAGTTGGCCCATCTTGCACACCCTCACCCCATGGCAATCCCGGCTACGTGGATTGTCTTAGTGAAGAGAGTGTTTGTCCAGGAAGTCCAGTAGTAATAATATTATATGAATTAATAACAATAAGAATACAAATAATATTAGAAAATAGTAGCAATAATGATGATTAAAAAATAATGATATGTAATTATGATGCTGATAACAAAAACAAGTGGTGATATCAATGTCAATGATAAAGATATTGATAATAATAATAATGATCATGGTATGGGAATTTACTGTTATGATAATGATGATAATCGGTCTTATAATAAAAACAATATAAAACATGGTAAACGTTTATTAATTTCTTTTATAATTATATTCTCTCCAGATAACAAGGCGGCTTAGTGATTGTGATTCGCTCTCTGTTATGGCCGTCAAAATCATAAAGTCGAAATAAAGCCACCGTATTTCACTGGTTAAAAATAATAATAGGCTTACCGTACGGGAATTTATATGAATCACGATGGCTTGCATCACTATATTGGCGTTAGTTTAATACTCAATAATATTAATTATGATAATAATAATAATACTACTATTGATAATATTGATTGATGATGTTGGTGGTGGCCGTCATGAGGGTTGTGGTGGTGGTGATGATGAAGACGATTATAGCAAGATAATGATGATGATAATGTTATTGTTAATGATAATGATAATAATGATAGTGATGATCATGATGACGACGATGATGAGGTTAATATAGGCATCAATCAGTCATAGGCCTATGGCGTACCATGTCTATCAGACTTTTCATTGGCAAAATCCAGGGCCCCAGTCCCGTGTGGACCCCTGGGATATTAATCGGCATATACGCTATTATGCTAGAGACCAAGAGCCCCAAATGGGCCGAGGGCTCCTTAATGAGTAGACTGTGTGAAGAAATACCACAAAAATAAGCCATTAAAACGTCAAAACGGCGAAAGGGGGAGGGGAGGGGTAATTCGACCAGTAATACCACTGGTGGTAGTGGGCCTGAAGAAGCCTTATCCATGAGCTGCAGGCCTCCTCAGGCCACTGCTACCAAGCGCCATGCTTCACATTATTATCCAAACCATTGGATCAAACTACTTTAGAACACATCCCCAGGGAAGTACACGTACTGCTAATAGAACAGACTCTGTGCTAATGTTAATACAAGGAGTATTAACAACTGCAACCTGGAATACATCTCATGATTTGGGTATAATGTGTTCCATGTGCATGGTACGTTCAAATGACTGGGTAATAATAATGCAAAGCGCCACAGGCTCCTGGTAAACGCTTTTTGTTATATATTCCTATATTATTCAGTAATGTCCTGACTAGTAATCAGCATCATTCGAGCGCAGCGGCGGATTCAGGAATCCGAATTAATAGAGGTCTAAGGAGGCATTTGGACGGAGGCCACCTCAGTCCAACCGTGGATGGAGATTAGCCAAGTATGAAATTGTTTGGTTATTCCAGGATGCAAGAAATTAAACTTTAATTTGAATATAATTTTCTAATTTGGCTATAATTTAACGTCAAATATTATGAAGGCCCGGGCTGACAGACCAGTCTGAATCCAGCCCTGGAGCATGAAGATTCCCATACCCATGTGAAAGGAGAGACGCGATAAGTGCATTTCACTGAGGACGCAAACAAGTGTGTGGGAAAGTCCCAGACTAGCACCCCGAAAGCTCACATAGGCCTACTTATATGTTTCAATCTCGTCTTAAATTTCAATAATATTTATATAGTATGCGGTTTACTATACAATGGTCTTCTTGTTACTCATTAGGTATCTCGGTGCATGCGTGAAAGAAGGAAGAATACATCCACTTCTTGAGGTAAATTAACCGTAGGCCCTCATCGGGCCCATTATTGTCGAACGTAGACTTTCTTGTTTGTTTGCATTATGAAAACACGTACATGTTGTTGGTCTATTAGTGATATCTATGGAAATACTGTAAGCCTACTGTCAATATAGGACTATCAATCAATCGACAGATATTAGTAGAGCGTTAATATTTACGGCAATATTAGTCCAATGCCGGTAATGATGCTGGCTATATTCGAAAGTGCACATATTGAGATTACTGTTCATTAAATATATATATAGGTATACATATAAATATATGTAATGTATGTATATACCTATGTCCAAGTGTATATACAAATATATTATATATATATATATATATATATACATTTATATATATAATATATACTTTCTGCATAGACAGCAGAAGGTCCTGGGTTCGAACCCCGGTTGGGGTTCCTGTTTTTTCCACACTGGCAGATTCCTCTTCATTAACGTTTGATTTATAAATCTTTATAGCATTACCGCAAGACGGTTTAGAATTATTAGTATTATGTCATGATTTGTCTCACAAAATACATAAATGATAGGCATAGTCTTTGACTCTAAGAACATGCAAATTATATTACGAATTGAAGGCATTAGCTTTTGGCGTTTATTACCTATGGCTATATATATATATATGCGTGTGTGTGTGTGTATGTTTTGAGGGCATTGATTGCTAAGGATGATCCGGAAGAGCATTACTGCCTGAAAATTGTCGAAAAGCCCGTATCGAAATGTAAATGCCCAATGATATAAAACAAAAATTTCTTTGACGTGAGCGGATTAATAGTGTGTTAAATGACAAACTGTTTGTGCCTTGCAAATATTACGAAACATTATTATAACAATCGATATAATGATGCCTGCCATATAGGCCTAACCAATGACATTGGTTAAATCTATTGTTATTACTGAATTGAATAATATCGATAAAAACAAAATTTTCATAATTTATTGTTCATGTCTACTGATATGAAATGATGCAATCATGAACGTCGAAGATAAATTTATCGTTTCTATTATGTTATTTTATATTTTCAGTATATTTCTGGTGGAACGCTGGAGGAGGTATTAGCTAATTGCAGTATAGATATTTCATGGAAACAGCGCATAAAATTCGCCGTCGATATTGCTGAAGGTATGACGTACTTGCACTCACAGAATGTCCTGCACCGCGATCTCAATTCTAGGGTAATCATCATGTCTTATAATTAATATTAGTACTGATGAGGATTATTATCAAGACGATGACGATGATGATGATAACAGAGTAATTATAATGTTGATGACGACGGCGATGGTGTGATTATGGTAACAGAGTGATGATGACGTTGATAAAATTGTTTATAAGGGTGATGATTCTGATGATGACGATGATTAGGAGGAGGAGGAGGATTAGGAAGAAGGTGATGAGGGGGATGGAGATGATGGTGAGGATGATGATGCTGATGGTGACAACAACGGATCTAACTGAACCAATCAACAAATTTACTGCAATATGAATGGAGTTTACATGGTAACAGAAATATTGTTGGCCAGATTCAATATTCTAAACAAATTATAAATGCATCAAAATATTTCATAAGCCTACCATTAAACAAACAATTTGTAAGCCTTCCATCTACTGTATTGGTATTACTTGTAGCAGAAATTCGCTTACTGTTCATCTACATACACACAACAATCTATTAGACTAGGCTGCTTACTGTTAAAGGCTTGTATTACATTTACACACATATTCCAAAGCCTATCACAATATAATTAAAGGTATAGTAAATGAATAACTCACCAAAGATTATGCCTATACTATCACACAATTTAGACAGTAAAATAACGTCACTCTAAATTCCGCCTGCACAACAATTGAATGGTTAGTAAACTGCATTCTGTGCTTTGATACAGCACACCTGGAATTTAATTATAAACAAATTAGCAGTCTCCCTGCCTGATTGGCAGAAAAAAACCCACTAAACCATATACTGTAATTATCTGAAATTATAAATAAACAAACAAAAAAAAAATAAATAAAAAGAACTTATATGGCTCCTACATGAAGATTAGGATGATGATGATGTTAATGATATTAATTCCCCTTTTCCACAAAACATTTTCATAGTACAATTCAACACAGTAGTTAAATGCTTGCCACTGTAAATCTAAGCAAAAATACAGCATCGACCACCATCAGTATCAACTACTTACACACGCAAACACGAAGCTCATACACAATAATCAACCGTTTGTGCAATTGCTGTAGGCCCAGTTTAATTAGATTCGTTTAAAATTGACAGCAAGTAAGCATCAGACCTAAATCTTATCTTATCTGACTACAGAAGTGTATACCACAAACATTTTTTTATATATTTCCTTTGAATATAAAACATTAAAACAAAAGCCCGCGGATACCGTAAGTATAGTCTTTTCATTATTTGGTCCTTTGATTTCCGAAATGCAAAACGTAATTAATCAAAGATAAGTAGTTCCATCCAAACAGCACTGATGATTTTTGGTAATGCAATTTTGAATCTGGTGCACAAAGTGGACTATATACTTCATTAAATATATAGACATACACATATATACCATATACATTATGGCTATTGGGGGTCCATTTCAATAGGCATGTAGATCTAAAAATAAATTCCGTTTTAATCAATTTCAAAATGTAAGAACATTAAGAGTTCCAAATATGTTTTCGGATATTTTATAGATATTTATGGTCGTTACAAGCCATATCCGTTTTAAACAATTTCTGAATGTATAAACATTAAGTGTTGCGCTTCAGTAGACCCCCACCAAGGCTTTGTCTCTGGGTCCGATCTGGAGCCTTTTATAAGGGCCAGGCAATTATTTTGCACTGTGGCCCGTCACGAACTCGCTACGCCGCTGATGATAGTGGTTATGCCAGAATACATTATGAAAAGCAAGTTATGACTGCAATATAGTCGATGAGTCGCTTGAAGTAGGCCTAAACATTGAAGGTTAAAGGCAAAACATTAAACGATGTGTCTTGGGGAAATTTTAACTCAAACATTTTACAAAGCAAATGCTGGAGTAATTTGGAGTAATTTTAATGTATACATTGAGCCTACTCACATCACTAATATTTTCGTAAAATTTAGCTTTGCCCTCTTTCATCTGTTGCGTGTGAACATCGCCTAAGCCAAGCGGAAACGTCAAAAGGTGCGCGATAGACCGCCGACTGAGCTGCAGATTTCAAGACCCATGTAAAACTTCAAGTTCTTAACAAAAACCAACGCCGATAAACTAAACCCCACTGCAATAATTTGCGTATCACGTCTAAGCAAGTGTAAAAGGAATGTCAAATTAAAATAGAATGTTGTTTTTCGTGGTTTTATGGGTCATATACGACACCTGAACACTCAACTTTTGGCGGACCACTTACATTTTCTCGCGAACCACCCACAGACACTTAACCCGGCGGGCACTCACTGAGCCCGACGGCCCTCGGCCGACGTGATTCTATGAGGAATCAAACACCACGATATGTGCGCAACGGATCATTTTTAATGAAGATCCGTTCAGACTTCCACCGACAATCAGCAAACGGCGTCGCGTCGTCTAACATTAAGCAGCTTTCGATTTGGACGAAGCGGCGTTCTACGACGGGCAGTGGAGCGTGAAACCGTACTGCGCATGCGAATACATGGGGAAGTCGTTCGTTGTGTGGATTTGACAACGGGCTTTAAGCGTATTGGCGTTGTGTTGACTACGGCAACGTGAGTTAGGTTAGGGAACGGCGGCGTTAGATTCGTCGGCCTTTAGCGTTTGACGGACCGTCACTTTCGGTGGACCACAAAATGCTCGACGGACCACGGATTGCGTAACACTGACTAACCACAGAGGTCTGTGCGATATCATTACGGATCTAAGCCACTAGTCTCTCTCCCCTACATACATCTTGAGGGTTCACATAGTATATAATATTAATATACGTGCGCCTACTAAGATATTATTATTATTATTATTATTATTATTATTATTATTATTATTATTATTATTATTATTATTATATATAGGTGTGGCGTCATTCTTTTTTCAGAATTGTTTGATCAAAGTATTTGACGATGGAAATATGGAAGCAGTCGTGTCTGATTTCGGCTTAGCTCGTGTTGGTCTTGGCGGAGTCGATGCAGATATTCCACGACGGATGTCAGTTGTGGGGTCGCCCTATTGGATGGCCCCAGAAATGCTCCGCGGTGAAGAGTATACAAAGAAAGTTGATGTTTTTTCTTACGGTATCCTACTATGTGAAGTCATTGCACGGATAAAAGCGGACCCAAATGAACTCCCAAGGACACCGGTGCGTTAAAATATTATTAATTAGTATTAATAATAGCTAGTTCTACTAAAATTTAATTATAAATTGTGCATCCCACATTTAAAGGGATCAAATATATTATCTATATCCAGTCAGATGCATATTCAAATAAATCAATTTTCGCTGATTTACACTTTTAATAAAATATTATATTTTTTAAAATAATTGTTCATTTATTATAGCGGTTTGGTCTGGACATGAGTTTGTTCCGGCCTATGTGCTATGGGTGTCCGGAACCGTTCCTGATACTTGCCGAGGAGTGCTGCTCAGTAAGTAAATACATAACCTATGCCTATACATTCCGCCTAGGCCTATTACTGAACTTTTCGAAATATTTAGTGTTTGATTGTTAAAAATTTTAAATGTTAATAACAACATTGACTATCACCATTTATTTGAAAGTGAATTTATATATAACTGAGACATGTACGTGCGTCTGCGCACCTGTCCAAATGACGCATGGAGTAACGTAACGTAAAACACACTTGTAGGTTTGAACCTAATCAAAATTGAATAGTGAGCGCGTAGAGATACAAATTAGACTATGCGTTAAGCAGCTATTACATGAAAGATCTTAGGATAGTCTGCCGTTCAAAAAACAATAAATTAAAGAGGAATGAACAAAGTAGTGTACTTCAAAATCCTACAATTTCGTTGATGAAAACTGAGAAACTTGACGTATTAATCTAACTTTTCATTTTTATTTTTAGATGGATCCAATGTGTCGCCCCAGTTTTATTGAAATAGTGGACAGATTAAACGCTATGTTGAATATACTTGACCGAGGCGGGAAACTAGCGGCAGGCGATATTAAACGTTCAAGCGTTGCTGTAATCATAACGTTAAAAATGGCAAGCGAAGAACGCAGAGACTATGATGAATGCGATTATAACGATGTATGTGATGCTGAATCTGCCAGTGACGTGATAGATAACGAGGTAATCTCGTATCTTCAATTTAATAAAATATTTATCGGATGGACACTATCTACGTTTCTGTTTATGTATTACTTGCACTTCGCATACGAACCTAATACGATTTTGTATAATATCGGGTATTTAGTCATCAACCTTCTATCAAGTAAATTATTTTGTTTTATTGCCGCGATAATTTGTATTCTGATTCCATCTGTCAAACACGATGAGGATGTTTCTGAAATGGTCACGCCGTTATCCGCTGTGACGTCACCGGAACCAGATTTGGGTTATTTTAGTAGTGAGGACCTGTATTCACTTGATACGAACTGTAATACTGTCGCTGATCCGGAGACGACGTCAATTCAGAGCAAGGAAGAAAGAGAAACTGCTGCTTGTGATAAGGTGATGAAGCGACTGTCAACTAAACAATCGAAGGTACTTAGCTTCGTCAACGAGTCAATAGAGGAAATGGATGAAGCGGAAGTTACTTAAATACTCGTCAATAATCCAAATTAAAATTTTCTTAACTAACAACATTTACGACCTGAAAGCACAGCGATAGTAATAAGCTGTTATTAAAGTGGGCAGGCAGTCTCACGTATACATCTCATTCATCACTGCGAGTTCGCATGTTTGTAATTACGCCTGTTGAAAAGTGTAAACGTTCCTTACGCAGGTCCTGTCAGCAGCTGCGACAGATGAGACGGGACGATGCGACGGACCGGGAAAATGCTCATACGAAACGCGGGAGAATGTCGGCCGATAGTCTACTGACGCCTCGTGCAAACCGTTCATGGTTTTCAAATTCCCATACATATACTACCTATATCTTTATAATCATCAAATATTTATTTATTTATATCATGTCGGTGATCAAAAGAAGGTAGAGGTGATCAAAAGAAGGTAGATTTTACTTCACTCGCTACACAGCTACGTTACACAATTCGTAGATATTCCAGACTCAAGGAAAGGCTACCCGCTACACAATACAGTACCCAAGTTTCGTATGATGATGAGCAACAGCTCAGTCCCGAACATTTCTATCTATAATGAATAAAATAGGCCCTAATGTGTAATGATTATTGGTGCAACTGAGAATTGTTTTTGCCTATAACTATAAAGCGATTCATTCGTATTTTCACGTCATAACTTTCAAACTTGAAGATGATGATTAATCTGATGGTTCCAATAAGATTTTCATCTGACTGATGGTTCCAATAAGATTTTCAACTGAAGTAGTTTACAGGGTGGAATTAGTATTTCAATTTATCAATGCTCATTATAACTTGTCACACGTAAATGTATGTGCTTCATTATCACTGTGCGCATGTGTATAATATTGTAGCCAGTGATGCATGGTGATGTAAACGATATTTCAAATTGTGTTATGTAAAGATTTATATTGTAACAATGTAAATATTTTTGTACGATATATATATTTTACAGAATTAATGGAAAATGTTAATAAAGACATTACAATGGATCATATTATATTATTTTATTATTATTATTATTATTATATAAAAGCTACGGTTTCCAATGTGACCAACATAATTTCAATGGCTTGGGTAAGTATATACTGTGAAAAACTATAGCTTGTCCCCTTAACTTACTAATATGGAATTCATCTCCATCTAAAATATATTTGGGATGGTAATTTCTAACATTATCACAGAAAATAGAAATGTTTTCTAAACAATCTATTTTTTATTTGATATAAAATAATGAGGTTTGTGGATTGAAAAAACTTAAGTACTGATTAACAACCACATTTTTAAATGTTACTATTATCAATCAACCAAGCGATTTTAGTACCAACGAAAATGGAAGTTGTTTAATGTGAGCTACATTAACATACAATCAAAACAAAATATTCTTCCACCCAAATACGAGGATAAAAAAATTGTGAATATACAAAAATATGATACTGTTATCTCTAAAACAGATTACTATCATCTCAACTGAACAGTTGGATAAAATAAACTGACAGTTAAAAATCTACCATATCAATATTGAATATATTAAATTGTGATTTTAAAAAGAGGATTAGCTAAAATGCTATCATATTTGACTTATACAATATTTACTGTTGTCTATTCATTTAGACGTGTCTTCTCAATTAAACACCACCCCCAGAATGTAATGTATTGAACGTCATTTGAACATCGACATGATTTTAATTTATAAAAAGTACAAATAATAATCTAAAAATAATATAATAACAGCAAAAATAATAATATTATAAACATTAATAATACCAATAATAATAATAATACTCAAGAATTTATAATGCGCCAATTTCATATACAGTATTTTGAGCATAAACATGAACAAGAGGTGAAACGTAAATAATTAAAAAAATATTTAAAAATCTATACGGCATATAGAATGTTGCCGCAGCAACACTATCCCTCAAAATTCCATTAAATCTGGTCAGCCCGTACAAGCATTTTAAAACGTTTACATTTAGAATGTGAAATTTATTGCTTGTCCTGGATTTAGGTAAAAAAAAATTCTAAAAATATTTTTTTTTTATATTATTGAGAATTGATGACAGCTTAGCTCTTGAACCCAAACCACTTTGTAGAAGGCTGTCTCATCCATCAAGAAGATGTGTATAAAATTAAAGTGTAGTACTTACAACTGGAGTGACGTCAAACGCACTAAGGAGATATTACTATTACCATGCACGAACCAACACACGAAAAATATCAAGAAATGTTTAGATTATCATACTCTATAGCGCCCCGTAGAATACTTACATTCGGTAAATATTAATAATACAATCACAATTTGGACGGCAATATTAACATAAATACAAATACATCAAACTGCCGTACTAAAATGAATATTATTTGGTTTAAAATCAAGGTATTTTGAATTAAATATACAAATCCATCTTTGAAAAATCAAATAAAGCCATCTTTAAAATATTCAATTTGCAAAGAATGAAGTAGAAAGCCCTCTGTACCATAGGCATTATTTTAATCTCAGAATAATAACAAATGTATTCTGCATTGATTTGTTCATGGCTACACAACTATTATTTTCTATAGTTATACAAAAAAAAAATCTTATTTACAAATATTGTTATATACAAATCTCTGTTAAAATTCTATTAAGTCATATAGTATAAATCAATTAATTGTATTTATAAAAATCCTGGAATTGGAAACATACAAACTTCAAAGACGCATTGCACATCCAGTAATCTAAGGGAGATAACTCTTCCTTCTCCCCCTACAACCAAAAACAAACTAAGCAAATATCACCAGATCAATGGTTTGTATATATCAAAAATATTTGAAATATTTCTTTTAAATTCTGAAATACACATTCAGATTTTTGTTTGTCAGACGACTTTTATCAGATGCCTGATAATGCTATTATATTTTTGTCGGCCAGATATCCCAAGAGACAAACAAAATTGTAGTCTATGTTTGTTTCAGATCAAACATAATGTGTCTTACAATGTCTGATGGCAGTTGCACAATGTTCAACTTGAGTCTGACAAACATCTGACAGAGTTTGACATTAACATAAATAACAATATTTATTGTTACACTATCTTTTTTTCAAGCCCAATCTTCATACATCATACCAACACATGGTAATGCACTGGAATGTCTGTATCGGAATGATTTGCAAATTCTTGAGAATTCCACCTTAAAAAAACCAAACATTCAGATAAGTCGTTCATCGCTGTCCATGTCAAAAGCTGCCAAAGATATTCCTCCTGCCTCTTGCTCTGCCTTTGATGGATTGTACTTGCCTTTCATCTTGCGTGAGTTTTTCATGTGTCGGTAAACCAAGAGGATAGCTACGATGATGAGGATAAGGATGATGAAAATAGGAACAATGATGGCTGCAGTGGAGGTTCGAGTAATGGCTACCTGGCACAAGGTTCCTGTAATATTAAGAAAAAGTAATAAATAAATAAATAATAAATAAATTCATCAATCAATTAATTTATATGCATACATAACATATAATATAATGAATGAACCCCTTATGAGTGAATCGTAGAGTCCACATAATATATTAAATAATATTGTATCACAATACATTTTCACAAATAAATATGTTGAATACTAGCAATAAGGTACCTCACAATATTTTCTAGATCAGATAGTTGTTTTACTCGGGAGAATAAAACAGAATTATTTTTACACTTTATGCTTAGAGTAAAATGACAGCATATGCCCTCCAAGTGTCATATCACCCCTAGCAAAGAATTTGTAAAGATCCTAAGAACCGAAAATAATAACATGTCATATCACTTCCATATATGGGCATAAATGCAAATAAATGTAATTGCAATGAGGGTTTTCATATAGAAAGAGATGTTGAAATGGGTCATTATATCGGCAATCAATTTGCTAACTGCCAAGAGGAAACACTTTCCATAAAATCACTATGAAAATATAAATCATAAATCATTAATTGCATTTTATACTTTATACTAGTTACGAGTGTGAACAATGTCAACATATAAGGAAAAAAACTAATTCCCCAATGAAAAAATACATTCATGTATATAGGCCAATGGAAGGTATGGAGGTTATAAACTAAATCTACACATAAATTATAGTTGTCATTACTTAATGGCATCACTTTCAACACAAATACAAAAAAATATTTACACTTGTGGTAAAAACTATAAAATCAATAGTGATAATTATTCAAATTCACTTTTTCAACTAATGCTAATAAAGAAAATAATGTTAAATACAAACAAGTAAAATCTATAGTTATTAAGATAGGAAAATCTGACATTATATCAATATAAAAATGTATTATACTATCACTGCAAAATTTCTGTCCAAACATATTTTACTGAATATAGTAAAGACAATTTATTGAAGTAGGCCTTGTACCAGTACTTCAGAATTTTTCTGTCACCAACAAAAGGTATGTTTAATAATTAACTATGATTTTGCTTTGAGCAAATTAATATATTTTGGGACATAAGAACTCCAGTTAATTCATTCTCAAAATTAAACCTGCCTTACCTTCAAAATCTTCACTACATTCACATGTATAACTGCCAGCACGATTCCGACACTGTGACAAGTTCTCACAAGAGTCCATTTGTAGAAAACATTCATCAACATCCTCCTGACAATTCACTCCTGAAAAACCTGTATTACTACAGTTGCATTGATACGAGCCTACAAGGTCTCGACATGTTCCGTTATGTTCACAAGGATCACTTACACACTCATTATCTTCATTCTCGCAAAGGATGCCAATGTATCCTAATGCGCAGCGACATCGGAAGAATGGTGTATCGTTCAATGGAACATTGTCAATGCAATCTCCACCATTCTGACATGGTTGGGAGAGGCATTCGTTGATATTTTGAGAGCATAAAATTCCAGTGAATCCAGTACCTGTGCAATCGCAGGCGAATCCACCATCAGAGTTGGTACAGATGGCACCGTTCAGACATACAGGATCCGGAAGCAAACACTCATTGATGTCCAGCTGACAGTTGATGCCTTCATAGCCATCAGGACAAACACATTCATAAGTCTGCTGCCTCAATCCACAGGTGGAATCAGTGCTACAAGCAGTTCGTTGGCAGACTTCATCATCACCACATGCAACCGCCGCTTCAGGAAGGGTAGCACAGACACAAGGGCCTACATAGCGGCAAGTACCACCATTTTCACAAGGTGAAGTGGCACAGGTGTTGATCTCCGATTGGCAAAACTCACCACCATATCCAACAGGACAGATGCAGGTGAAACCATTCTGCTGATTTAGACAGACAGCATTATTTTGACATAGATTCAAACTACAAGTACGCAGATCAATTTCACAGTTTATTCCGCTGTAGTACTGCTTGCAAATGCACTGGTAACTAGCAATGTCATCTTGGCACGTCCCTCCATTTTCACACATACTGCCTGCGCATTCATCAATGTCAGTATTGCAGTTGATGCCATCATATCCCGGAACACACTGACATCTATAACCAGCGAAGAACGGTTCTCCTTCAGTGGCACTGTCAATACAAGTGGCATTGTTCTGGCATGGACTTGAAGAACATTCTTCAATATCAACTTCACATAAATTTCCAGAGTATCCGGTAACACATTCGCAAACAAAATTATCTTCAGGCATACTGAGGTCATGAAAACATGTCCCGCCATTTAGGCAAATGTTGTTTATACACTTATTAATAGCATCATCACAGTTTTTCCCTTGCCAGTGAACAGTACATGTACACGTGTAGTCACTGCCCACTTGCGTGCACGTTCCATCATGTTGGCAGGGATTGTCATAGCAGGCATCAAGATGCTCGCATAATGACCCATGATAAATATCAGGGCATAAACAGTAGTATGTGCGACTGTTGGGCATACACGTTGCACCATTCCGGCAGTCATTCACAAAACATGGGTTATAGGTCGTACAGTTCTTTCCCTCATAATAATCCGGACATGTGCAAACGTAGAATGAGTTATCGGTCGGCTGCTCGCATGTTCCACCGTTTTGACATGGCCCCTGTGAACAAAGTGTGTTATCTACATCGCAGATCTTGCCATCATATCCTGGCAGACAATCACAGGTGAAATCGGCAGGAAACACTGGAATACAAGATGCCGAGCTATTGACGTTGCAAGGATTTCCATCGCATCCGTTGATTTCAGTTTCGCAAAGTGATCCAGTGAAGCCAGACGAACACAGACACGTGTAATTCATGTGAGCATCCATGCACGTTGCTCCATTCTCACAAAAATTTTCTAAAATTAATGTGAACAAAAAAAAAAAAGATTATTGATAATGAAATTGAAATATCATGTCAGTTATGATATATCACAACTATTATATTATCTGGATTAACCCAGATTTTTAAAAATGGTAAAATTCAAATATGTACAAAGTATCCAAATGTGTGTGTTACACAGATATTCAGTCAATCAATCAATCAATCAATGTTTTAATCAGCCAATAAATAAATCATTAAATCATTCAATGAATTTTCCAAAACATGCATTTTCAGACCTAAATACCATATATTTTTCTTATGAAAAGTACATACTTTCTTTCATTCACATAGAAACTAATAACTTAATTTTGAATTTCTTACGGAAACAAAAACCATTACAAAACAGAGGAAAGGTAAAACTAGAAGAATTGTATAAACACATATTGCAGTGAATGTTTGTCTTGCAATCTCATATTAGTAATGGACAAAAAAAAAACTAACTGCTCCACTAACCAATGCAATCGTCGACACTGCTAATGCAATCAACACCCTCCCATCCATCAAGGCAGTCACAGGTGAATGCGTTCCAAATGTCAACGCACATGGCATTCTGGGAACATGGGTCTGGCTGGCAGGAATCTATAGGTGTGCAGCCAGGCTCAACATTGGAGGATGTCACTGTGACACCTGGTTGCTCATCACTTCCCAGGTAGAGGATCTGCTGCTGGTTTATTTCAACATCTCGTAAGCAACCCTGGAAGCTTGTTGACAAATCACCTGTCAAAACAACATGATAAAAATATAAAAAATATTTAGAAATACCACAATATAGACTATATAAAAATGTATTATATTGAAAATTATTATTATAATAGTTAAAAATAATAAAACACTGAAATATAAGGGTTGAAAAAAAAAATTTAAATATTGTAAATTATAGCAAATATTGTAAATTATGACAATAAAAGTAGAATATAATCATATTAACATTCCTAATACTAGCTAATGAATATACTAAATAAAATGGTAATAAATACTAATAATGTAATGAGAATATTAAATATAGCAAGAGTATTAACAGTTTGAAATAAACTAAAAGATTTATTATACAAAATAATGATAATAAGGATACATAAGAAATAAAATATAATAATGATGATGGGTATTACATTAACAGTATTACAAAAACTACTAATAAATAATTATAACAATATTAATAAACTATTTATTTCTGTATTATTAACTTATTCAATTGGGCCTTAACTACTGAACCAAATTGGCCGAGAAATCGAAGGACACAACATACCTCCTGCGAGACCACCTATGAGTACTTGGGACACAGCGCTGTGGGCTGAGGTATGCATTGGAAAATCCCCTAACAGTGTGTAACGATTCCCATTATGAGTTACACGGATGATACTGCGGTCACGCTGCCACGACACCTGCTGCCACTCCGCATCCGTTACGTTTGTCGTAATAGGTAAGCTGCTCTCAACTGAAATATATCATTATTGTTTCTTTAAAATTATTACTACATTTATTTATTTATTAATGCATATATACATTTTAATATGGGCTTAATTCAACACTTGATTTTTACAGTATACCATTTTTAATATCTCTGTCATTTTATAAGTTTTATATTATCTTTTCTAGATATTTAAAGTCACTTTCGCTCACATGACTATTGCAACTAAATTTTTGAATAATAAAACTAAAGGATCCAAGAGAGATAAATCTTAAGACAAATTTAAAAAAGAACCTAGAATATATTTCAGAAAAAAAAAAATTTTTTTACTGTTAATCAATGGTATAAAAATCTAAGAATGGATCAATCACAACCAATGCCAGGATTTTCAAATAGTGTGGGGCAATATCAGGGTTGACCCACTTTACACGTAAATTCAAACAATGTGGACCCATTTTACGCAAAAATATAAACAATCTGGACCCATTTTCTTATATTTTACCCTTTTTAAGCTAAATGAGAAATCTGGATCCATTTTTCAAAAAGTGGACCCATTTTATGCGTAAAATTACATAATTTGGACCCATTTTTAAAAATGTGGACCCATTAGAAAAATTGTGTGGAACTGTCCAAACTGTCCCAATAGCTGGCTACGGCATTGATCACAACTTTTGTTACAGTTAAATGGTAAATGAAAAACGTGGTATGATTAGCTAATGTGTGATTAATGTGTTTGAATGTAAGACTTACAGATCATGAATACTAATTCAGTCAACGTATAATTTTGAATATGGAATACAAGTGTTGTAGTTTAAAAATACTGATTAAACCAATGGGAATTAAAGTGTAGTGGAATCTATTATTATAAGCTGAGGCTAATGTGTAGGTTTTATCTGAGCTGAAAAATGCTATTAACCTGACCTATGATTTAGAAATTGTTTGATTTCCGCTGGAGTTACATTTGTTATTATTCTTTAGATGTTGGAATTGTTGTCGAATACAAAATTCTCCTTAATTTTAATTAATGACTGGTGAGAAGGGAATGTAATACATTGCAGACCAAATGATTGAGTTCATATATTTAATTTATCTTATCATTTAAGTATTTTTTATCCTACTTATAGACATAAAGAGAATTTTATAGCATTACAATGCTTTAGAAAGCTTAAAGAAATGCTTATAATACCTGGAAAAGCTTACATAAATATCAACAAAATCTGTAGTGAATTAAAATTTCTTAAACATTAATAATACTAATACTACTAATATTAATACATTATTAATGGTAGTAATAACAAAGATGACCATGATGATGATGTCATGATGATGATAATAATAATAATAATAATATTGATTTTTCAGAATTTTATAGATTTTAATTCAAATCTACTTCAAATGTGCTCTTTAAATTAATATTGCAACCATTGATTGGAACAATGTTGTCTCTGAAACACGCACTCAAACGCCTGAGGGTGTATTCGATCATGTTGCAGACAGCAATTAGCACTCTGGCATTCAACCAGCTACAAGACTCAAATAGATATCAGGCGTTTTAGAATAGATAACGTAATGATCATAACAAGTCGTGTACGATGCTTCTCAAGGCCTCCTTCTTGGCACCTTTTGTTTTTTTTTTTACTTTATATGCTTCTGTACGATCTTCCCAAATGGTTTTTCTTAACTGAATTAATAATTCAGTTGTATAATTTTTTTTATTGAATTAACATAATTTTTATACGTCTCTGTTGTGTGATTTTATGAATTACTTGTAAATTTCTTTGAATGATGCCAAAATAAATTAAATAATATTAAACAATAATAAAAATCAAAATAATAATAATGAAGATGATGACAATATCAATAATAAAAATGATGATGTTTATGATGAATAATGTTAGTAAGTATAACAATAAAAAAATAAAAATAACAATATTACTAACAACAATAACTTTTCAGTATTTTATAAATCATATTCTATTTGCTCTTCAAATAATTACAGCAGTCATTGGATCAAACATGGAACACACACTCAGTTTCCTGAGGAAATATTCTATTGTATCAGAGATAGTAATCAATGGAATGCTATTTCACCTATCCATTTATACTCCTCCTTGGAAAAAGTGATAAAGTGTATGAAATACCCAAAGGACAACACTGACAACGTAAAGTTGAGTTTACATCTTAATGCTGAGAGTCTGTAATACAACCACAGCCTACACAAGATACTCAGTATCAAGTATCATGAAAATATATAAAGCTATAATATATGAGACATATCTATAACATACCTCCACTGAACATGGTTTCAAACCGTAATTCTCTGTCGCTAGTGATTACCAACTGCATGTAGTCGTTTTGCCCACCACGGCTTGAGAACAGATTGATGCGCATTATGATGGCTGAGGAATCACGGGTACGGTATTCTATTGCATATCTATCACCGAAAGCAAACTGTTCACTATCGATAACCAGCTGCAATGAACTACGACCTCCATCAAATGTCAATGCCAGGACTGCAGAGAATAATAATGACAGATGTTGAGGAAATTTGGAGAAATAGGTCATAGATTAAAAAGCGCATTTTCTTTCCTCTTAAAGTCGGGCACTCGCTGTGCACGAAAGTCGTTGACCGATGCGATTCCATAGAGAATGCAACGCCGTGACGTGTGCACAACAGATATTTTTTTTAATGACGATCCTTTCTGGCTGCTACCAACAATTAGCAGACGATGTCATGTCGTTTAAAGCTCACAGGGAGCAGAATTGGATTCGTTGTCTGATTGTTGTACAATCGTCGTACAACGCAGTGAATGCCCGGCTTAAGCCAATGTTAGCTTCATCAGAAAATCACAGATGGAGATGTTTCTTAATACTTATGAGTTTAAAGTGTATTGCCACACAAATTTAGAAGAATCCCCAATTTGAAGGTACAGTATATTCAAAGGTGGAAATGGTGATTTTCAAAAATCTGTTATTTGGCGAGAATGGTTTGTCTTCTTTAAATACACAAAAAAATAAGGCTTGTTTGAAATGTTTACCTTCTTCACAAGTACTACCGGTATATTGGGAGTGACACTGGCATGAGAAGCCACCCCAACTTGTATCACATACACCACCATTTGCACATGGATTTGGGACACACACTGCTTCTCTCGGACAGCCGGCCACGGCCACAAATGGATCAGAGATGGTGAACCGAGTGGCGCTCTGTAGTGAAATCTCCTCGTAGTTGATGTACAAATCACGGATGCAGCCAGTGAAACTGATGGAAAATGAATGGCGATGAAACATGTATGAAGATGGATAAATGGAAGGATTATGATGAATAAAACGAAAACAATGTTATGAATGTATGAATGTCTTTGTTTTTATAAGCAGGAGAACCAGTTCAATATAAAGTGACTATTTTCTAGAGAGCTTTCAATAATGATTATGGTATAGTAATAATTATTATGATGTTATTATTAATTATAATATTATTCATAGTATTAATATTATAGTATGTGGAGCCACAGTTTTCTTTTCCAGACACCTTTCAATAATGATTATGATGTAGTAATAAATACTATTACCATAATATTATTAATTATAATGTTAACCATAGTGTTAATATTAGAGTAGGTGGAGCCACATAGTTGGGTGCAAATATTTAAAATAAAATTGACTAACTTTTAAATATTTATTATTCTAGCTTCCACTAATAGTCTATACTGGCTTCATCAGGTGCACCTAATAAATCCAGCATAAACTGCGGACAAAAACTTGTGTAATAAATACTTAAATGTTAGTCGAAGAAGTGCTATAATGTTTTAATTACAGTATAAATATTATAATTAATAATATTTTTATAATATTATCAGCCATATTTATAATTTTAACATTTATTAATAAAAATGATGATGATGATAAAATGACAATTTAATGCAAATTTACCGCGTGGGTATATTATTGCTAAATTCATTTGGAATTTTTTTTCTATTTATATATATACTTTTGTATTGATTCCAGTGAAAAGTTGAATACAATTTTTAAAAATAAATAAAATTTGCTTCAATATTATGGAGCACAAATACAGCTCCTTTGGCATATTCCATCATGTTGCAGCCTTAATCAGCATAATCAAAGGAGCGTGGACAATGCTTGGGCATAGGCACAGTCACATAATTGGACTGTTCTATTTTTGTCATAGGAGTGTTCTTAAAGGAACAGTGGCAATTAGTTGGTTTATCCATATAAGTATACATGAAATAGAACAGCAGAATCGTATTTGTGTTATTGGGTGGAGAGACACAAATCAGGTCCCATGACCCAAATATACAAAAACATGATATTGTGGTGTTTCAAGCCCCTACCTTAAAGTTAATGAAGTTTGAATAATTGCTCACCTGTTGTAGATGTCTAAGCTGTTCCTAACCGGTCCCAATGATGGGTCAGTGTGCAAAGTCCCAAAGAAAATTGGTTTGTTGATGGTTATCAAAGGTGCAGAAATAATCTGATTGGTGTAACGAGCACTTGTATGAATGTTGGTAACTGGAAGAATAATGCAATATAAACAATAACAATTTATGAAGTCCTTTTCACTGATCATCTCAAAGGGTTTTACAATATTAACTCAGCACTTTAAAAAACAGACTACTGTATAACATATTAACTCTAGCTTTTGTTCACACAGTGGGCTTCAAACTGGAGACCGATCAGGAGGCATGTACTATGATAGTAACATTGGTATGGAGAAATATCTCTGCTAGTGATAAATAAAGAAGAAAAAATTTTAAGCCAAGTGGTATACACCCTTGGATTTTACCATCAGGAAATGTTTATCCTCAAGTTATTGCGTGAATTTAACTTATTATTATTATATTATTTAAGAAACTGCTCACTTATTTTGCTCATAGAGATTTTGTACAATATAAATGTAGAACCTTTTTTTTAAGAACCTATATATTATTATTATTAGTATTATTATACTATTATGGTTTAGTAAATTCAAGAGAATAAGTGTAGAACCCCTGCTAATGAGTAATGTAGGAGAGAACGTTAACCACAATTGTAGGCGACTACTCCAACAAATAATCGTACAGTTTTACTAACCTGTGATTTCCAACACAAAAACTTGTAACGCTAGCTGAACGCTGTACCAATCACCATTGTTTAGATCTTGACCCAATGTAACTGAGTTGACACCACCCAACTCTAGTAACTGAACTTGAAGGGCCCCCTCTTTAGTCAGCAGGGCTGTAACACCAGACACCTGAAGAGTGCATAAGAGAGTGACAAGCATAACAATAATAATAATCAGTACAAATCAGATTAAACATAGATTATAAAAACCTAATACATAATAATTTTCGCAGAAGGTGGTCTTGGGTTTTCCAATGTCTTTCAAAAGCAAAGGGTGTTAGACTGAAGCCCTGTCCCCTGTCCTGACTATCAAATTTTATTTGGCAACAAACATGTGACATGCCTAAATATGGTCATGATGACATCACATCATGACCATATATAGGCACATCATGACTTTATATCTGTATAAAACATGTTCTTTTGTCAAAGAAAACTTGATAATCTGGACAGAGCTAAAGAACAACATAATTATTATCAATAATAAACAAACATAAAACAAAGCAAACATTATTATTATAAACAGGTGAAAAAATACATACTGTGTAAAGAAGTATTCCAGGATCCTGATTGGCTGATGAGAATAAGAATGTGACTTCTGTAACTGTATCAGTACCACCAAAGTACAAGAAAGAATTTGAACTGAAGCTGGCTGTCGTCTGCACCTCACAAGTTGTACCTTTGAACCCAACAGCGCACTCGCAGATGTATCCCTGCCATGTGTTGATGCACTGCCCTCCATTGAGACATGGGTTACTGGTGCAGGTGTCAGTAAGAGAACAGCCAGTAGAGGGCGCATTTTGAGAGAATGATGGTGGAGTTGTGGAGTCGAGACTAACTGGCAAGTTATCAATGTTGAGGTCCTTCAAAAGAGTAAAAAATATGTGTTATTATTTTACAGAGAGTACCATGCTTAAAAACCCCAATATTTGTCCCCATGTTTGTCTCTGAATTATTTTTTTTCTTGTTATTGTTTAATTAAAATGAGACTTTTTTATTCCTTCTTTCACAAACTTATTTTTTTTAAAGATCATCAGAGGAGAGCAGAAAAAAAAAATCATGTTTTGTTTTCTTATTTAGCAAATAATTTTGCTAAAAACATCCAGACAGAGGAGAAAATAAAAATAAAATGTTATTAGTAAATGTAAACAGTGTAGTAATGGGATGGTTAAATGCTTTAAATTTATATAATTAGGAAGAAATATACATATCTTATCTTTGGAGATTTCAAGGCAGCAGAGGGCGTAATAAAAATAAAGTAAAACGTTTCGCCTAAGCATTGATGCACTAATTTACTGAAATGCGCTTACCTGAAAGCAACCTCTGAAACTGCTAACAGAGTACAGCTTGGATCGTATGTAGGGTGTGACATCAGGCCCAACGCCACCAATATACAGTGGACCATTCAGCTCTAGGGAGCCCTGTTGTAACGACGGCATAACAGAAGCTGTACACAGCCCAAATGGACAGCCACCATTATCGATCGTCACCACAGCCTGAAGGTTGGATATGTAAAGACCGATGGTGTGCACCTGTGCATCATTCAGCTGGCCACCGAGCAGGACTGAAACAGTCTCGTGTCCGTCACTATATGTTAAGTGGAGTTCTCCATCGAATATCTCCAAGGCAAGATGGTCAATTCTGTCTTCAGACTGGATCTAAAGTTTAAACAAAATTTACAATCAATTTTCAAGATTGTTTTAAATGTTATGTATGGTTATGACTTAAACCACACAAATAAGAAGTAGTGATGTTGGTCTATGAGTGAGATACTTACCTGGATGAAATTGGCATATATCGGTTCATCCAGGTAAGCATTCATGACATAGACATTGAAAATTCTATTTGATTTAATTACTCCCCATAAAATGCTCAGATTTTTTGAATGATAGGAAATAATCCCATACACTTTAAACCTTTAAAAAGAAGCTTCATAGTTACCAATAATAAAATTATCGTCTACTTACTCCCTGAGTGTACAGAAGGACTCCATTGGATTCTGCTGTCACCATCTCAAAACTAATAGAGATCTGATCTATTGCCCTCTTACGCCTTCTGTTCGACGAGCTGAACCTTGGCAGAGGGTTAAGGGTTATGTAGTTGCTGCCGTCTAGGCTAACGGTCTGTATTATGTCACAGTTGGTACCGACAACACCTAATAAAAACAATGGTAAAAATAATAACACACAAAATTATATGATTGGCATAAAGCTAGGCTGGGTTCCAGTCCCTAATTTTGTCTTCATCAGTGAAAAGTATTAAAAATAAACTATTTTGGCACCAATGGCGTTTCATATTACTTATTTGCATGGCGTTCCATACTATACTTTTCATCCAAATTTAAAAACATAACAAAAACAGACGCTGGTGGCGCTCTTTAAGATTATTTAACACTACAAAATACAATAAACTAGAGACTTGTGGCAAGTCCAGTATAAAGCCTATACAACAGATATTTGGAGTATGTTTCAGTTAGTGTATTTTTAGTAGTACACCATGATGCATCTTTATACATGTTCAATAAATTAATGAAATCTTGAAATATTGACAACTTAAAAGTTGCCTTGATCAACTAAACCTTCGATCGAAGTTTAAGGGCTCAAACTTCAACCGCTTTGCTAACCACTTATGCTAAGTGTGTTCTTAAGTGCAAAATTATCTTGATCTTTGAATTGTATCCCATAATTATATCAAATTACATGTTCTGTTACATTTTATGTCACATTTACCTTCTGGGCAGATACACTGGTACATATTGACGACCGACTCTGTGCAGACTGCTCCATTATTGCATGGGGATGATACACATTCATTAATATCATCTGTGCAGTTGAAACCTGGTTTTAAAACAAAAATAAACAATGTCCGATTCTCCAGGCAGTAATTATCTATACAAATATCTATCATATTTACAGTCTGTTTTATTATGTATCACTGAAATATTATCATTATCATTATTGGCTGGAGCTAGGTTGGGCCTAGTCTAGCCTAATTGACACAAAATTCAGTACAATTGTCCGATCACTTGAAAAATGCTGTAGTAGGCCTATCTCCTAAATAATACATTATGTTAAATCATAATCTTATATAATAAGTTAGTCAGTGTCAGTAAAATACATTTAAATGTCACATTTATAACAATTGCTGAAAGCAATCTTGCACTGTTTGCATATTTCGCGCACAGTTTGAAACATCTTTGAAACAACATATGTGAATGACTCAAAATGAGTAAAAAGCTTAAACTGCGCACAACACTAAGTGCCTGTTCTAATATAGACAATGGGTCGTGCTCATATTATTTGTTATATGTTTATTATTCATTATTTTCACTTGACTCGCATAAATAATTTTGTTCGAAGAACATTTTATGCAGTTGTACTTCGCAGCACTTCACTTGCAATTTATAATTTCTAGTTATATTACTATTGGCAATATTATCATTATCACTATTATTATTTCTATCATTACCAATAGTATTATTACTAATTGTTCAATTCAATTCAATTCTATGAAGCATAAGCTGAATTGCATGATATTTACATAATACATGCATTAAAGCACAATCCAAATAGTTCAAACTTACAAAAATAGACCACATTTAAAACTATAGTTTTATAAGTATTAATAAAAGAATATATACAATTTTAACCTTTAACTAATAATATATTAATTGAATTAATAATAATAATAATAATAATAATAATAATAATAATAGTAATAATAATAATAATAATAAAATCCTCCTTATGTTTAATATTAATATTATACGATAATTATTCCTATCATATTTTCATTATTATCATGACTGTATGTATATTATCATTATTAACATATTGCACAATTATAATTACAGTACTTATAGTACCATTATTACATATTAGACCAAATTTAATATCAAATGAATTAAAACCATTAACATTGTTACATCAGGTTGTTTGTGTTACCTTGGTAGCCAGCAAAGCACTGACACGTGTAGAAACCAATGAAATCAGTACATATTCCAAATAGACAAGGATTAGTAGCGCATTCATCCACATCAAGCTGACAATTTGGACCTGAAAAGATTAAAAAAATAATAATTGAAACAAACAAAAATCATTGGAAAGGTGCGAATAACAACTTTATGGTTTAGTAACAAGTAATATTCTTGGTAAAACTTTCTTCTCTAATAGTGACATGGCCCTAAACTTAAATATTAAACAATATGTGACTTACCTGTGTATCCTATTCTGCACTGACAGTTGTAGCCATAGACCTCATCTACACAAGTGGCACCATTCTGACATGGATTTGATTGGCACTCATCAATTTCAATCGTACAATACTGACCTGAAAAAAAAAAACAATAATAAATATAATTATAATACAATATAATATTTTAATATTCATAATAATATTAACAATAATAATACAAATAATAATAATAATAAATATAATTATAATAATCATAACACTAATATTGAAAATGATAATAATATTTAAAATATTTAAAACAGTAATATTTATTAATGATATCAATAAAATGAATGACAATTTAAATATAAATAATAGGCCATGTCTTTACCTTCCCAACCTGGCATGCACAAGCAAGTAAACGTGTTGAGAAGGTCAATGCAAGTGGCACCGTTGGAACAGAAATTTGGCGAACAGTCATTGACGTCATCCTCACATTGCGTGCCATTGTAACCAGGGGGACAGGCACAGAAATATCCATTAAGCTGATCAGCGCAAGTTGCTCCGTTGGTGCAAGGATTCGATGCACACTCATCTGTATTGACCAAGCATGTTTCACCTAATAATGATAAATAAAAAATATGTTCGCATTATTTTGGAAATCGCACCATCAATTTAGTTATTTAACTTCTCATTCAATAGCAAGAAACTTGCCAAAAATACAACTTAAACTATTTTTCAATTTAAATGCAATTTTTTTTCAATTTCAATTTATTTCACTTGTTCAACACATGACATGTAGATGTAATGAGTAAATATAGGCCTAACAAATACATCACTACAAAATAATAACTTCAGCAGATCAAGTATTAAGTATGGAGAAGAAAAAATCAGGGGAATTGCAAGAAATGTTTTTTAACAAGCTGGTTTAAATACATGCATAGACAGTAAACATTACCGTAAATACAATGATAAAAAAAAAAAAAACAATAAAATTAAACAATTTTAGAAATTGTGCCAGTGAAACATTGAAAACTATTAATAAATTAATAGAATTGTCTTTCTCAACACAAACATTAAACCTGATAAGGATATGAAACTGTTTTTAGTAGGATTAACGACAATATGAAACATTTAAAAAATTACACAAATGGGCGCGACAGCCAACAGCACTAATATAATAAATCACAATCAAAATTAGAATTCATACATTTGTACGGAACTGAAGATCTAACGACAAACAACAAGAGTCAAGAGAGAGAAGAGGGAGAATACTGACTTGTAGACTAAACAAAATGAATTGAACGCTCGTTAGAAATGGGTACACGAGTATGAAAACATGAGCTGAACCTCACCTTCGAACCCAGGAATACACTGACAGATGTAACCAGCAATCGCATCATTACATGTCGCTCCGTTTCTACAGGGGCTTGATGCACACTCGTCGATGTTCTCCTGGCAAAATTGTCCCGTGAAACCCTCTGCGCATACGCAGACTGGATCAAGACCGACCTGCTCGATGCACTGTCCACCATTCAAGCAAACTGGCGGCAGAACGTTACACTCAAGAACATCTGTCTCGCAGTGCTGACCGGTCCAATGTGTGTCACATGCGCACTCATACGTGCCATAGTAGTTGACGCATTGGCCGCCATTCGAACATGGTGCGATACTTCGACATTCGTTGATATCAAGCTCACAGTTAACTCCCGTCCATCCACTCGGACACTGGCATTCGTAACCTGTGGATGTGATGTATATATCAGCAAATGTAGCACAAGCAGCAGAATTGTATATTTGTAGATAAACAAAATAAAAAAAACACCATAAAATATGCTAATATATGTAATTAGCTATGAATCTTTTGAAGTCTTGGCCAGAGTAAGAATTACTAAAATTACTATTTATATAAATGTGTAAGTATCCGTGCACATGTGAATGTTTTCGTAATGTAAAAGTTACAAATATGCTATATAAATCCATAAATCTTCAAATACATAAACAAAAATTTTGTTTTAAATTTGAAGATTATATCCTGTTTTGCTTCCTTATTAGCTACAACATTATCATCACCACCTCTGGTGCTACCACTATCATCGTTATCATTGTCATTAATCTGATATGAAGATAATGGGAGAAAAAACGCTTTCTCACCTGTTTCTGTATCTTGACAAACACCACCATTAATACATGGGTTTGAAATGCAGCCAAATCTATCAACCTCACACAGGTCACCGATGAAATCGCTGAAACACACGCAAGAGAAGCCTTGCTGACCGTCAGTCAGTTCTACACATGTACCTCCATTCTGACATGGATTAGAGCGACATTCATAAATGTCACCCTGACATTGTGCACCTTTAAGTAAAGAAAAGTTTGCTATAAATTTAATTTAGTTTCAAATAAAGTCGAGATTTTGGTTATCAAGTTTCTTTGTTTCATTCAGAAAAAACTGATCCCTTTATAAAGTCCTGTCCACACTACCAAATTTTCTTTGACAAAAAAACTGTTGTATACCCATATATAGTCATGATGTGCCTATATATGGTCATGATGTGATGTCATCATTACCATATTTAGGCATGTCACATGTTTTTGTCAAATAAAATGTGATAGTCTGGACAGGGCTTTAGTTCCGTCAAAAAGATTTCATAAAAAGTACAATTTTCTATAAATAATTATTTAATAATTTATTTATTTATTATTATTTAATTTATTAAGTGATAAGAAGTGTAATAATAAATAAATCCAAACTAGTGTTGAAACCCAGATTTTAGTGCACTCTGTTTTAAGTTACTCTCTCCTCCAAATCAGCGGTGGCACCAGAAATTTGCTAACAAAGGGTCCAATATGTCCGACGGAGGGGTGCGAACCTAGGGGCCGACCAAGCCTTGGTCGATAACTGGTAGGGTTCACTGGTTTTTATGCCTAGTATGGTCCAAAATGTTTAGACCACAATATTTGAGATTGTCAATCAAAATAACATTATTTGGATAGGCAAATTATAATTTAAAAAAAAATTTCCATCCGACTACTTAGTTGTTGTTGTTGGGGCCTGTCCAACGGGGAAAAATGCCGCCTTTCCCCCGCTGGCACCACCCCTGCTGCAGAGGGCTCTAATATCCTCTTGGTTTGGACTAGTTAATCAAAATATCATATTACCTATGAATCCATCAGCACATAGACAGGTGAAATCCAGGTTGTACTCAGAGGATGGAAAAGGTGCACAGGTACCTCGATGAAAACAAGGATTTGGGTCGCAGATGTCAATATCCATTTCGCAGTTGGTTCCGGTGTATCCTCGGGAACAAATACAATCATAGCGAGAATTACCATCAAGACAGGTTGCGCCATTCAGACAGGGGTTGCTATGACAACTATCAATGTACTCATCACAAACGGAGCCAGTAAGCCCAGCAGGACATTCACACCTATTGTAAGAAAATCAAATTTGAAAATGATATACAGTACGACCAAAAAATTTAATATACATTTGAATCCCTGAGTTTGTAATTTGTACCCAGTTTAGTGAACTTATTTTTTAAGGTTGTCATAGGCTGAGAATAAAAGTCCACTATTTTCAATTAGTAAAATGTTTCTAGATAAAAGCACCAATATGGTGGAGAAAATTTAAACAAAACTTTATGGACCCAACAGTGGGCTGATGTTAAAGACAAAAATGCAAGTGGGTGGGGCCAGGGTTTGCATTATGTGTCTGTATGGATCTAGGACTTTAATCTGGGAAGCTCAGACAATTTATGAATTTAAAAGTCTCATGATTTGTAAGTTATAATAGGAATTATTTTTTCTTCCCAGAAAATATTGTTGAGCTCCCGATGAGATGGAGGGGAGGGGGAAAGTGGTTGAATGCCATAAATTATATGGAATGCAGTACTTACATAGCATTATTGATGAGATCGATGCAGACTTGATATGACTGACAGGGCTGGAACACCTCACACTCGTTGATGTCAATCTCGCAGTCTGTTCCCTCAAACCCTTGCAGGCATAAACACTCATACATATTGAGTTGAGTCTCCCGGCAAATGCCAGCATTCGCACACGGATTGCTTGAACATTCGCTGATGTCGATTTCACAGTTAGTCCCTTCGAAACCTGAAGAAGTCCGAAAAAAGATTCAACTATTAAACTAATTTAGTACATCACCATGGATTTCAGCCCTGGTGGTTACCATTTTCCTAGCCAAAATGCATAGAAGGAGTTAAATTTTGCAATGAACCCTCGAAATAGGCAGGCCTCTCATTTCCAAAATTCACTATGCTTGGGAAACAAACCATTTTTTTTTCTTTAATAGACTTACCATAAACTAGAGTGTAACTAGAGTGTAAAATCATAGCTATTCTTTTTTTTTTGTTTTGATTGTTACATGATATAACTACCTAATATAAAAATATTATCTATATTTGTAGGCATCTTACCAGGTTGGCATGTGCAATTATAGCCATTGACAAAATCAATACAGGTGCCTCCATTACGACAAGGTGTAGAGCCACATTCATTGGCCTGTAGTTGACACACATCTCCATAGTAGCCTGGTATGCAGTAACATGTGTGTCCACCTAAAAAATAAAAAATAGATTGATGGATAGAGAGCAGCTTAGCTCAATCGGCTAATCTGGTGGTCGCCACTGTGTGCGTTGAACCGTGGAGATCTCTAGGTCTCCGGTTCAATTCCCATCGCTGCCTAGCTCCTTGTGTTTCACCCGGAGGGCTAAAATACAAGTTAAAATAGCGCACCGTCTTTTGGATGAGACGTTCAAGCTGTTGGTCCCATGTGCATTTATTGCCCATGTGCATGTTAAAGAAGGCAGTATACTCTTTGGAAAAGAGGAGATTGTCTCCCAGTGCACTGCCCAATCACCACCAGAAGGACCCCACTACAAATAAGTCATCTTCTAGACTTTTGTGGGCTATCCTTGGTGTCCTTGACAATACCACACAAAAAACAACAAACATTAAAAATAATTTAAAAAAAATCATTAACCTACCTGTTGGATGTTCTACACACACAGAATTTTGTCCGCAAGGATTAAAGTTGCAATTACGCAAGACAGCCTCACAACGTTCTCCTAGAAACTCCTCACCGCATTCACAACGGTAGCCATTCTCAAGGTCGATGCATGTTCCATCAAAGAAGCATGGGCTGCTATCACACTCATTTACATCTACATCGCATATCTTTCCGGAAAAGCCAGAATTACACACGCAAGAGAAATCACCGTATGTGTTATTACACCAGGATGTTCGAGTGGGATTACATGGGAATGCAGTGAGACACTCGTTTACATCCTCAACACAGGTTGTACCTTGGAAGTTTGAAGTGCACTGGCACACAAAGCCATTCTCACGGTTGAAACACGTACCGCCGTTCTCGCATGGATCTGAAAGACATTCGTTGAGGTCCTGCTGGCAGAAGTCACCTTCCCATCCCGGTGGACACTGACAGGAGTATGAGTTAATCCCATCAATGCATGTTGCACCATTCTGACACAGATTAGTAACACATTCGTCGATATCAACATCACACCGGTAACCTTCAAATCCAGCTGCACAGCTGCAGAAAAAGCCGTCAACACGATCAACACATGTTCCGGCATTCTGACACGGATTTGAATCACATTCATCTATTTCTTCCTGGCATCTTGCGCCAGTCCAGCCAGAAGAACAAGCGCATTGGTAACCATTAACGATATCTAGACAGGTACCAGCGTTTAAGCAAGGAAACGATGCACATTCATTGATGTCAATCTCACAGATGTTACCCTGAAATCCAGATGCACACGTGCAGACATATGCGTTGACAAAATCATTGCATACGGCCCCGTTTAAACATGGCGCACTAAAGCACTCATCAACATCAATCTCGCAGATTGTTCCAACAAAGCCAGACAAACAGGTGCATGTGTAGTAACCAATGAAATCATTGCAAGTCCCTGAATTCCGACAAGGAGATGATTCGCACTCGTCCACCTCAGTTTCGCAAAGAAGTCCTTTCCATGCAGATGGGCACTGGCATAAATAACCATTGATGCGATCAATGCATGTTCCAGCATTCAAGCAAGGAAATGATGCGCATTCATTAATGTTTATATCACAGACTCGGCCCTCGTACCTACAATAGCAAAATCAATCAATCATTAATAAATTGTAATTGGCCCTGTTCAGTATAATCGTAAAAAAGAAAAGTATATAAGGACTTATACAATACATACAATAAAACAACATTGAAAATTTAGTGCTTTTGACATTGCTCCAAAATAATAAAACCAAAAATGGTACAATCAGGGAAACAAATCCGAATAAAAATGATTAATTAATGCTTGAAAATAGGCCCTTTGAAATATCATACAAATATTTTGGGCTCCTTGATATAAACTGTTTTTTTTTTTGGTTTTAAGAAAAAGGCCAAACTTAGATTTTTAATGGGTCAGATATGCTTGTACAAATTAATTTTTCTTTTTTTTGGAATAATCAGCAACAACTTTTTTTTGTGTGTGAACCAGATGCAGACTTACCCTTCAGAACATTGGCAAGTATATGAATTAATTCCATCAATACACAACGCCCCATTTTGACAAGGTACCGATAGACACTCGTTAATATCTTGCTCACAGTTATTACCACTCCATCCTGGGGCGCACGAACATGAGTAAAAGTTTATTGCGTGCGAGCAGGTTGCACCATTAAGGCAAGGCACAGAGAGGCACTCGTTCACATCCTGACTACAAATGACACCCTCCCAGCCAGGCATACACTGGCAGAAGTAAGCATTAACCTGGTCGATGCAGATTGCGCCATTACGACATGGGTTACTTTGGCATTCATCAATGTTCGTTGCACAAGAAGTACCTGATTGGAAATAGCAGATAATGATAGTTATACATATTTATATATATGATGATACTGGTGGATTAATATACAATTTAAGTAAGTGAAATATCCCTGAACAATAAAATGGTACAAACCTGTCCATCCTGGGGCGCATGAACAAGTATAGCCATTCACAAAGTCAGTGCAGGTTGCTCCATTTAGACACGGGAAGGAGGCACACTCATCTATGTCTATTTCACAATCAGAGCCAGTAAAACCTATGGAAGAGAGCATCAGGTATTTGAGAAAAATCAGAAATTCAACTGTTGCATTTAATCTCAGTAAAAGGTGTTATCTTCTCTCAATATCTGACATAATATTTCATTACAAAATCTCGAGGGATCCAAGGCCAAAACCATTTAAAAAAATTATTTTATACATTTTAAAAATTAATCAGATACAGTTGTTAGCCCTTATTTTACAATAGCTTATTTTTATACGACAAAATATAAATATCATGCCTGGAATATACCCTCAACTCATGGTATTTTAAATTCAGAAAAAAAAAACATCTATTGCTATAGAAATAGTACATTGTACTCTACAAAGTCATAAGTAAACTCATGAAACAATTTGCTCTCTTACCTGGACGACACTGACAAATGTAGCCTGCGATTTGGTCAACACAGAATGCATTGTTCAGGCACGGCCCGCTGTCGCATTCATCAATTTCTAATCCACATAAATTCCCAGTGTATCCTGGAGCGCATGAGCAGTTGAAGCCATTCATCCCATCGTTACACTGTCCGTTATTCAAGCACTGGTTTGGTATACAGTAATTGGGAATTGAGCAGTTCTTACCTAGACACAGAAGAAGGAAGTTTTGAGTCGTGTTTAAAACTGAATGAAAAAATAGTTACATGGTTCATGTTTAATGGCTGTTCAACTGATTTGTCTAAGACACTGAAGAGGTATCTTACGGGGCTAAAGGTGGTTACGGCCTCTGGAGGCTGGCTAATTTTTGAAGTACTATTTGGTACAAGTACAATGGACTGATTTACTGATCCTAAATTAATAAGATTTTGAGTCAGCCACATTAGAAGAATGCAAATTTGATATTGGCCACTGAATGGAAAATTGTTTGGACTAGCAGCTACAGGTTAGGGTAGGCTGGAGTAGATTAGGCCTATTGTGTAGCATTACCTTCATCAGTCACTAGCACCGTGAGATGGTAGCCTAGGTGACATACCTTTATTAAACTCTATTGTACATTGGCAAGTGTAGTCTTGAATCCCATCTAAACAAGTTGCTCCATTGAGACATGGGTTTGGTGCACAGTCGTTGATGTTGCGGCATTGAAGCGGGCTAGCGAATAATACTTCAAATGGCAACAACGTACTTCAACAATGCTAACAACAGCATCGAAGTAGTCTCATTAGTCTGGTTTTCAGAAATTATTTGTAATATTTTGGGTAAACACCCAGCAAACGTCCGTTTTACGAATAGTCGATATTACCAATGACCTTTGCCCTATGCATTATCGACCAAGTAATAACGTTAAAAAGTCCGATTGCTTACGTTTTTCGAAGTGATAATGTATATTTTTCTTAATAATAAAATCAGATTTGTTGTATTTATTTATTGACAATTCAATCTTTTCTATTTCTGCTATAATAGTCGCTATTAATTCAATTTCAACGAACTACCACCAACGCCAGTCGTTAAAATGGGCGCACATGTTTACGATGACGAAATAAAAAAGTGTGTGGAAGTCAGCAACTTATTTGACACCGCGAAGGTTGATTTTCGCGAAGTGCATGTAAACAACTCAATTGAGCGATCTAAAAACTACAAAACAGACAGAAAGGTCCATAAAGTATACATAAGTTTTAATGATAATTAAAACAATTTTTTGTTAAATGGAAGAATGCTAGCTAGCGATTAAAATAATTCGTTTTTTATCGAAGGTAAATGTAGCTAGGGCCAGGGCCTAGAGAATCTACCACTTAAAATTCGATAGAACACGCTGCTGCACTGGTCGTTGGTTCATACTGGTCGGCTAGGTTAGGTAGTAGAAACTCACACCTTGTCTACAGTAGTTTACAATTTTTTGAACGAATACCACTTGGTACTAGAGGTTCGTAAAACACAGTAGATGTTTTATTAAACAAGCCTTTCCACCGTGTGACGTCGACGGCCTGAAACTGGTCTGGCTGTTTATCTGGCTCTAACTTGGCATCGAACGCAATTAGGGGATTATCGTATCATGTTTTAAGACGGGTATATCTAGATAAAGTTCGACGTGAACCAGGCTCTAGACAAAGCTGGGTAGACTGAAGTATTGTAGATAAAGTACCTTGCTCAAGGACACAAGCGAAATGCACAGCAAAGGATTGAAACCCAGACCTCAAGGTTAGGAACCATTCCCACTGCGCCAAACCACTTCCATGTGTGTAATTTATGTGAATTTGAATGTGATGTTTTGTAAAACAGGGCACAAAATGTTAGATCATTTTCAGTAAGATACAAACTTTTTTATTAGATTTTGTATAATTGTATATAGCTTCTTTCAGACATTTGATCAATCATCATATTGATTCCAAAGTCTGTTCAACACTGCACTACTTTACCGAAGTCTGAGCAACTGTTTAATCTGACAGACAAAAATCTATAATTTGCATACTTACTGTATTGTACTCGAGCAAGCTCCACCCCCATGTCATTTTCCATTCTGGCTACACCCCCTTCACGTGTTACACGTATAGAATAATAAGTGCCGTCATTATAGGTAAGGAATGATGGATCAGAAAATGCTCCCTCTCCTTCGCCCTTGAAAAGTAAGGTCATGAATAATGTTAACAGACCTATTGTAGAAATATATATTAATTACAATTTTCAGAAACTTACATGGGAATGTCGTAGCCTACGGCAAATTCACTTATTCAGGATTTTTTTAAACAGTTTATGAAGTCATATTACATTGTTATAGTATGTTTAATTATTAATTAGTATATAGAGGATATAATGTCAATTTTTTATTAAATGCCAATAAAATCTAAACATGTAAATCATAAGCTATTGGTCAATACTTGCATGTGTGGTGTGCTTGAATGCAAAAAAAAATTAAGGATTGGCCAATGATATTAGACATACTAATTGCATCATCTAAATTCTCTCTGTGAGTGTTTCCAGTTCAAAGTTAAGATGACACCCTTCTGAGGATGGCAGCTTAGCTTAATTTAACTGGATGCAACGTCTAAACAGAACAGAATTTGCACTGGTGTATGTGTTAGTGAGTATACTTACTTTTGTATTAAGACCAAGGATCAATCTACCGTTATCCATGTAGACTGTGAGATAAGCTGGCCCACCAAAGTAAAATAGCATACCTGTTGATGCCCTACAAAGTAAGATATCATTTGTAATTAAAGGAATTAAGTTAGTAGATGTTTAGAAGAATTTATCTTTATTTGTTTGTTTTGGAAAATAAATCAAGCATTATTTGGTACAAATATAGGTTTTTATTTTTCTTTTATTAAACTACAAAAAGTTCATCATGCTGTCAGCACATTGTGGACATCCAAGACTGTTGAATAGCTATACACAGGGTACAAGTAAACATTTAATTTGTTCAACTATAAAAGCAAAATCTTCTCTGACAATATACTATAGGTGGCCATAATATTTATTATTTTAAAAACAGAAATACAATAAAAAAAACTTTGGTATCATTTTTAAAAATCCTAATCTTAATTAATGAATTTATTTGAGTTACCTTGTTCGAAATTTTAACACAATAATTGTCCTTGTTCCCGGTGGCAATGGATGATCAACTGAGAGGTACCCGGAGCTTGATTCCACGGTGATAACGCTCGGCGGTGCACAGAACTTACTAGGACAGCCATCTCTGACACCATACTGCTCATTGGCTAGATTTAAATTTAAAGTGTTCTGATTGGTTCTTATGTATTGCACACAAGAAACTAAATAGCCATTCAAACGCTCCGTATTCACTCGGAGATCGTTGACACTTTCATAGCCACCAACAAACAGATCTCCCGCTAGTAGTGACATGTCAAGTCCTCCCTGGGAGACTGGGGTAAGGAAGTCTACAGTGACAGGCTGGTTATTTATTGTCGCAAATGTACTACCAACAAACGGAGTTCCAAGGTTGTATATTATAACACTATAGCTTGTGTTTGGTTGTAGATTGCCTTCACCAATGTAAAGCTGGAGAATAATAGAAAAAGTATTTTATTTCATTTTAAATGTCCCTGTTAGAAATCCATTAAAATAAAAAGTAAACATTATTGAATTTACAGTGTATGTCCCACATAAACAACATTTGTCTATGGATTACAGGCACTTTTCCCAATTGCTCCTGGAAATAAGCCAAACATAAATAAATTAATATACAGTGCCTTGTCGAAGAACACAAACTGTACTATACACTTGCCTTATCCTATTGATTGCAATATTAGTGAAAATTAATTCATTTGACAAAAGCAATGTAGAATTGAACTTACAACCACACTTTCACATTGCTCTTTGATAATGTTGGCTCTTGCTTCAAAATAAATATTTTTTAGTAATACAAATGCAGTAATGCATCTAATGAAGTAAATAAAACTTATGAACGACATGTTTCGACGTGACCCACGTCATCATCAGGTAATAAAGTTTATGCTACTAACGGTTTAAATACTACCGGTTAGATGTAAGACGAAACAAGCAAATATTATTAAGGCAAGTCATGTATATAGAAGTCAAGAATACTATGGTAAGTCATGTATAAAGGAATTAGAATGAATTAGAATGAGAGAATGATATTGTAATGAGTTGTTTGTTTGTTCAGTGACGGATTTCCCCAAAAAATGTAAAGGGCTTCTTTTATTTTAAGTTGATAAGTATTGTGGGCGGAGTCAAAAAATATTTTTTTGCTTTTACAGTGTTATTCAAGATTTTAAATTCACATTATTAGTCCATGATATGAAAATGTCATTTGCTGTAACAGTTTTGAAATTAACATCTACAAGATTGATCAGGATGTGGCTTAGGAAGTGGAATTTTAGTCATAAGAAAAAAACAAATATTGGTCTTTCAAAGGATTTGGAACCAGAATCATGGAAATAATAGGCAAGCACCTTATAACCATTGGTAAGAAACTTCACTCAAATGTGCTTTACTTAGTAGACATATTATAAACCCCAAAGAAAATAGTTCCAGCAAAACACACCTCTATCAATGAGCTTGAAACGCGCCACTCCAGATAAATCTTTTGTGCGTTTACACCAAGGGCAAAAAAATAGTTCTGTGCACCACCACTACTTCCGCCATTCTGGTAGAGCAGCATTCCATAATCGTTACAGTATCGGAACCGAATTTCAAGAACGTCCTCGGCTCCTCGTAAGTAATTATTGCTTGTGTCACTTACTGCATTATACTTTATGTAACCGTCAATATCGATAAATTTCTCTGTGCTCGTCTGTGCTAACGTGTCATGTAAATCTGGAAAAAATGATATAAAACCAATCTTGTTTATTTTTTTAATCATTTTGAGTAATAATCAGAAATCATAAACCCAATTAATAAAATACAATTTGTGACTGGCAACTGTAAGTCTACTAAATTGTAAGATACAAACTGAACGATAAAAGGCTGGAAATAATAATTTATTTTCATTGCTTTTTTAATGGCACTTTACGTTCTTTGAGTGAGACATTATAAATATATAATTATTATTGTTAATAATAAAATAATCAAGTATACTGTATAAAAATATCATTATTAAACCACCATTATTATTATTATTATTATTATTATTATTATTATCATTATTATTAAAATCATCCTCATTACCATTATCATCATTATCCTTCAATAATATTATTGTCATCACTTTCATTACAATTACTGTATGTTCAATTATAAGGAAAACAAAGAATTCCTTATAAGTTCAACAGATTGTTCAAAGTTATTTATAGACATTAAATTAAATATAGTATAGTAGCCTACACTTCACAGCTGAGACCGATAACAATGGGACAGATTAACTGCTCTTCTTTATATGAATTAAGAGGGCAACGCTTATTAGCAGCTGATAGTAGGCCTATTGTGTACACCATGGGCCATATTTAATAATGATTCATATACTCAGCATGCTGAATAGAACCCAGTGCAGGAAAGATGTTGCTTCATCTTATCATCAGTATCCCCATTACTGTATTATCAGGGAGATGTAAAAATAAAATATTTTTACATCTCCCTGGTATTATTACTATATCATAACCATTTTTATCATCAGTATCCCCATAATATTCTATAAGGCCTACTATATTATTTCATTTTTATAATCAGTATCCCAATTGCATTCTATATACAGTTGTATTATCATCACCACAATCACTATTCATCTTGAATTACAATCTGCATCAACAATTCATCATAATTAGGCTAAGACAAGACTTTTTATATTCCTTGTTTCGCGTACTTATTTTTTAAAAGATTATCAAGGGAGGGCAGAATAAAAATAGAAATAAAATTTTGTTTTCTTATTTAGCAACTGGTTTTGCCAAAATCATCCAGGCGGAGGAGAAAATAAAAATAAAATTTGATTGGTGAATGTAAAATAGGATGTTTAAATGCTTCAAATTTATATAATTAGGAAGAAATATACTTTTCTTATCTTTGAAGATTTCAAGGCAGCAGAGGGCATGATAAAAATAAAGAAAAACTTTTATTTTTTTCTTAAATTTCCACTTTTTTGGGGCTAATTGGCCAAAAATAAAGTTTTATTATTATTTGAAATCATCAATATTTGAAGTCGGCAGGTTTTCTAAATAAGGTATAAAAAGGTCTTGCCTAAAAATTATGCTGTGTTGTCTAGTTGGTTATCAGGGTTGGTCAATAACAATAATCATCAGCACCACCACATCACCATCATCATTATCAGCACCACTACCACCACCATCATAGCCAGCACCATCCTCACCACCACCGCCATCAGGCCCGTAACCAGATCCTTCCAAAGGGGGGAGGGGGTTTCTGGGCGTAAGGTCCACAGTCGAAGCCCCGGTGGGGTCGGCAAAACCCCCAAAGCATGAGGATTTTTGTGCTTTATGGGTCTAAATAATGCTTTAAAAGCAGATATGTTTGAAAACGTCTGTGTCTGGGTGGGTCTGCAGTGCATTAGTTGGGTTGGATGGACTTATTTAGGAAATTTGAAGAGGGGGGTTCGCCATAAAAGAGGGGGGGTTTGCTAGAAAAGGGGGGTTCTCCCGAACCATAAAAACCCCCCTGGATACGGGCCTAACCATGACCATCTTCACCACCATCACCACTACTGCCATCATCATCATCACACCACTACCACCACCATCATTACACCACCACCACCACCATCACTACCAGCAACAGCATCATCATCCCACCACACCAACACCACTACAATTATTCTTAGGCATTACCTGCAGAAGGTTGTATTGCTACAAACAAGACAGCCAATCAGAGGATGAATAAATTCAGGATGTTTATATTTTGACAAGTCACACATTAGAATAATGAATCAAGCAGGCATTACATTAAGATTTCAGCTCTGTACAGACAGTTACATTAAAATGAACCTTTTAGCTCAGTATATGCCACCCCTTGGATGTTGTTCCTAAAGTTTCACAAAATGACAGTGTAAGTGTACATAAAAATGTGTATGTTGGAAAACGCATGTTTGGGGGACAGACACAATAGCAGATTCAGGGATTCAGGGATTCAGGGAGGGAGACTGGGAGGGGGTGGGGGAAGCCGCCCGGATAACATACCCACTAAATTTTTCAAGGGTATAAAAAAAAAGTGGGAAAATAGAAATTTATATTAAAATTTTATTCTGGGATTGCCATTTCCGGTCACCTAGAGGTACCATAATCATAAATTTTTTTACCTCAGCCTCAACCATGATGGGGCTGAGGTGGTATTGGCCCTCCATCTGTGAAAGTCCTTCTCTGGGCCCCTCTATTTCACATACCTGGATCTACCACTGGGACAAACATACTGTATGTATTCTTTGCTCTGTTCTGATTTCAACACTTTGGAAAGGTTCATTATAGATGGAAGTGCATAGGTTTACATGAACTTACCTATAAAAAATATACATAATCCAAGTAGTGTGTACAGATATTTTAACCTGGATTTTCTAGAGTGAAATTGGAATTGATACATCATACTTCTAGATGAAATGCGAGAGTACAACTCTCAAACAAAACTAAAATTAAATTTTGAGAGACAGAGAGGCTCTTCTCACATACTTCTAAGCGTACTTCAGTCACTTCCCTGTAGTACCTAAAAAAATGAAAGAAAAGAAAACATTGTTATTTACATATTTATAACTTCATGTAGACTTATCTTCTGCATTTTCAGAGGGCTCTATTTGCATCAATTTAAAATTACTTTTTTTGGTAATAACAATTTTATTATTCATACTCTTTGTATAGAAAGAACCTTAAAGATGTTCTGTATACCATGAGATAAAAAAATTGAAAAATTCAATTTCATATTTGAATTGCCTAATTTGTATATTTAAGTGATTTATTATTAATAAGTTAAACTTACAATAAAAAATAAGAAAAATATTTCACGGGCAATTAATGGAATTAAATAATACCTTTCCTGTATTCTTTTGCATAGGCCCTTAATTTGGCTGGTAATCAGGTTTTTTAGTAGCAATATGTCAGTAAATCAGTGGTAACTAATATTTTTTTCAGGTTGGAGGTTAATAATTTATTTGATCACTTTAAATTAGCTACATTCTTATATTAGATATTTTTTATATGTCAGAACAATTACATTTTAATGAAATTTTTAGTGTGACAATTTAACACAGTGTAGGACACATTGTCTTTTAAGGATATGACTGAGAACACTACTCATGGAGGCATTATAGTTCACTAATACCTCCATGCACTACTACAGTATACTTATTTAAAATTACACAAAAAAAAAACCCCAAAAAACTATGAGGTAATATTCTAACATTATTTTTATGTGGTACTCATAGGTTTCAAAGTGATTATTAATTTATTATTAAACATACAGTAGGGATACCATAAGTTGGAATTTAAATTGTTATGCTAATTTATTGATGAGTAGATAGGTGATGTCAATATATGACAGCTGGTTTTAGACCATCATGTATCAATCCATGCTGAGATATCAATCATATACAATTTAGTAATATAGCAGCCAACATGAAATGAGGCAAAGACAAGCCAAACGAACCAGTCGCTCCCACATAAAATCAATTTTTATTTATATTAATACAGGGTCTTCTTATCGAGTCCATACACGAGTTCATACATGAGTTCATACTCTGTTGTCGATTTAGTTCTAAAACTTGACGATACGATTCTTGTCTATATAGTGGTGAAAGGATTGGTAGGAACAGAGTTGCTAAATGAACGCTTCTTTCTTGACCCATAGAAATCCGATATTTTGCTATGAAGCTACAAAAGTCTAAACCACAGCTGTTTAAAGAACAGCATTTGAGAAATCAGCCTCCAAGAATCAAAGTCAACGATTTCAGACATTTTCCGGGCAGAGACCATCATCGAATCGTTAAAAAATGTGACAAGCCAAACCAGTCACTCGTCGCAAACCCTGTTTCATTGATAATGGCAAATGCATGCTGGAATCATGTAAACTTTGTGAAATCTATTTATTACACTATAAACTAACCTTTATATATCTATATACTGTATCATGCTATGCTGTTATTTCCCCCTTTTATAAAATTAAAACAAAAATTGTAATGATTTGGTGATGCTTTCTGAGAAATGTCCAAAATCATTACGGTAACTTTGAAGGCTGATTTCTCAAATATTATTCTTTATAGCTTTAGCAGAGCTCTATATGTTTAAACTCCTGTACCTTCGTAATGAAATTTCGGATTTAAAAGATTCTTTTACCATTTTATAGCACTCATTTTACTGTTTAACGCTGTTTTAATTTACAACTAAAAATCTATTTTTGCAACAAGTGTCTGGTTTGGCTTGTCTTTGCCATAAATATTGTTTTAATGTCAAAAATGGGGAAAATAACAACATAGCATGATGTATAGATATAAAATGTTGACATTCCGACAAGTTTTAATCATATTAATCTCCAAAACATGATTTGCGAAGAGTGACTGGTTTGGTTTTTTCTTCACTACAAATGTTAATAAGAAAACAGTTGGGAAATAAAATGCATGAAATTTATTGCCTAGATACACCTAGTAGATTATTAAACTAAATCACTAAATTTATAAATACTGTATATAAAATTTTGTAGAGATTAGATAAAAAAAAAAACACTAAACAACTGCACATTTGTAATGTGTTAGGTTCTTTTACAGTACAGCACAATATTATTATTACACTCACAAAACTTCACAGGAATATTACTAAATTAATTATAAACTATCATTAAATTACTACTAATAATTATTATTAATCATCAACTACTACTAATTATTATTACTTTATTATTAATATTATCATATTTATTAATTGCATCAATCATCGTTTGTTAGATTTTTATAGTACTAAACTTTTATTATTTTGTATTAACATTAAGAATTGTCATAATTTCATAACTTACCTGTTTGGAATAAATAATAAAACTATCAGTACTATTACAGGCTCATTTTATATTTAAAACTATCATTTACAATATGGGCTACCTGACAGACTTTATTGATGTTTTTAATACAAAGACATTTTGACTTAGCCACGCTTCCCTGATTTGTGCTCAACACAAGCGATATTGATTTTCCTATTGTTTGGAGTTCTTTGCTGGCCGCTGGAATCTGATATGATGTTAGCTATACTGAGCAGTACTTGGTTCCTGGTCATAATACTACAATGGGACCATAAAGCCAGAGCTAAATAAAAAATAGTTGATCAGTTTTTGTTATCTAAAAAAGCTCCAATACGGGATGTATTTGAGCAGATATTTTCTACATGATTTGTATGCGAGTATACATCTGCGGGGGGGTGGGGAAATAGTTCATAAGCAAGTAATTTGAATATTAAATATTTTTACTATTTATTGCTTATTTCTTCTTCTGATCTTCCGATTTCTTGAAGAAAAAGTTTTAATATATATATATTATACTTTATTTTGTAAAGAATAATTTTTCATGAATATATATACTGTATGTGTACTAGTATGATCAGAGGGATCCAGAATTTAAAAAAAAACGACAGGCCACCAATTTAATATACTGTAGGCCTAGATTTCATTTAATTACAGATAAATTGTATGATTCATTCAATATGTACTGTTATGAAATATTGTAAAACTTAGTATAAAGTATGGCATTTTGTAATTTTTCTGTTAAAAAATAAAAGAAGATAGTGGTAAAACAGGGGGACATCTCTCTTTCCCCTCAATAAATCCCCGGTGATGTTAAGTAACAATAAAAAAAACCCTACAAATTGAGCTTTCTTCGGCAGAATGATATTACAGAAAGTTTGTCTGTACATTATCAAGGTGTTGTTTAAGTTCCAGGTGTGCCAAGTCTCCCGGAACTCGGGGGAGTCTCCCGGAAATCGGGATAATCTCCCGCAAGCAAGAACCTCACAAAAATTAACCAATTTCCGCAAATTCATAATTTTGCATGTTTTCACTGCTTTATTATTAATTTTCTGACGGAAGTCAGTGCCGATGGGTATCACTATGTGCGGCAAAATAAAATTAGATATGTTAAGAATTTCATTAACCAGATCAGATGCAAATTCATGGGGGTGGCATCCGGCCCTGGCCTCCTAAATGCTTTAAAATTATAAAAAAAGGCATAATTCAAATTAACAAAGTCTGAGAGGGCCATTTTTAGGGGTGCCATAATCATAAATTTCTTACAGTACCTCAGCCCCACCATGGTTGGCCTTCTGTCTAGAACCTCCCCCCCGCCCCTGCACCACCCTTCGACCAGCCACCACATGATTTTCCCGAAAATGACTTCTTCCAACTATGGACCCCTAAAGTTCTGTTTTCATATTAAAATAATGCAAACACAAAACCATCAGAAATGCAGCCAGTAGGCCTACAGTTCTGCATAGAAAACAGATAAAAAAAATTTTTTTTCACCAATCTATTTTGTTTTAAAATATACTTTGTTTCCTTCGTGTGCAAAACAGAACTCTATTTTATACACTCAAGATGTTATATTTTTCAGGGCCATTTAATTTCCAGAAGTCTGCATTCTTGTCAATTTTTACTGTGTTCAATCTTATGTTTTTCTCTCCTTTTGTTCTTTTTTTACTCCTTTTCTCATAAATTTTTTTGTTGCAGACACAAAAGGTACAATTAAACACTGTAATAAGAACTCTTCAAATAGTGAGTTTTCGCAAACAAATAAAAATATGTTTACGTCATCAAATTTGTAAACACCCCTTCCCCTGAAGTTGCATATCTGTTACAACGTACAGTAAGTGATTTGTGCCTTTTGTATGAATCAAGGATATTCAGCTCATACAGTATATTTCTCAAGTATGTTTCAGGCATGAATTACGATAACGATATATATTTAAGGCCTATTCGTATTCGTTATCATAAGGTTGCGAAATTTTCCTAATACCAAGCAATACCATTATTATTAGTTTATAGCTGATTTTTGTATTAACATAATTTTACTAATTAGCACTCTGTTATAATCTGACTGTAATAGTATTACAATAATTTCAGACCCTTATGCGTATGATATTAGAATTTTTTTTTAAACATTGAAAATTTCTCAAATCATCTACAGTATCATCCCTCGTAACCAACCTCCCCACCCAACATTATATAATATTATCTTGCAAATATAACACTGATATTAATGTAAAAATAAAATGCCTAGTCAATATACAGTATACCGTAAATGTGATGACGAGAATATCATTCTCTCACTTTGGTCATACACCTCAAATATACATTTTTTTTTTAATTCCCTATTAAATAGTACTCCATTAACGTCTTCACTTTTTAAACAGGAATTACTTGTTTACTTGTTTCCCAAGAGAGTCTTCTACAGTCTGATCCTCCTGGTTATAGAGGCCAAGCAAAACGATGCTTATAGGCCCCTCGAAAAAAAAACAGTATATTTAAAATTTAACATAGGGCGCAAATTTGAGCGGATGGTCAGCCAAACGTACTTCGATTGCAGATTTAAATAAATTAATAGAACTAGAGTTAACGTCTTCATTCGATAAAGGAATTCCACAGCCGAACTGACCTAAATGAAAAAGCACGACTTCTAATAAGTGTCCTGAATGTGTCCTACAGTGCTGATGTTTAATCTTAAAGGAGTGACCTCTAGTTCTAGCACCTTTATCAAACTCAAAAAATAAATCACCCGAAACCCTATCAATTAATACACTTATTATAAGTATAACCACCTCATATTGGTCCTTGAAGTGAGATGTGAGACTTTCAGAGAAGACCTCTCATATGAGACTCCATCATCACCTTCGCTCCCTGGTACTCTAGCCCCCCTGCTTCTCAACCTTATGGTCGCGAAATTGTCTCCGACACTTAATAAAAAAACTTTAGTAAAGTGCATCTCGAAAAATCAATCAATTTAAAGTCCGTAATTAATTCATGCTAGCATGAGTTGGACTGTTCACCATGATAGCTTGCCTCCAGTCATTTCTATTCTGTGCAGTTGCACCTAATTTTTTGTTTAAATTATAAAAAATAGAGAAAAAAAAGTATATCCAAATTTAAGTCTGAGAATGCCATTTCCGGACTAGTCTAGAGGTGCCGTAATCATACATTTTCTCTCAGCCCTAACCATGGTGGGGCTGGGGTGGTATTACTCTAGCTGTAAAAGTCCTTCCCGGGGCCCCCTCTATTTCGAATCACTGGATCAGTCATTCCTCCATTATCATAAAATTGAACATTCATTCAGCACACAATATCGAAAGTCTTGAGTACTTTGTTAAGTAAATAACAATCGAAACCATTTCTCACCGGTGTGCTCGACTTTGCCGAGGTTGATGGCTTGTGGGCCTAAGTAATCAACACATAACATGAAAACAGACAATATCATTTTGGTATGACAATACATGTCTTGGGTAGGTTGCCTCAGAATGTGCATTCTGAAAGTGGGTCGCCACCTAAAAACAGGTTGAGAAGCCCACTCTCTGCTGGGCCTAACTAAGTACGGACTCGCAAAGACAATGACATAGTGTACCCTCAAAATGAATTCAATTTACTCACCAAGTAATTCCAATAATAATAAATCTTCCATTAGTCCATTTCTTTAACTTTCTTGACCCAAAACATGTATTTTAACATACACGATGTGACACACTGTGTGCTTAAAAACGTCAACAGGCTTTGCATTGGTTTAAATTGATCATCGGTTTAAAGCGTTGCATATCCATGACAAAGAATTAGAATTCTGAGTCACACAGCGATCGATGAGCCCTCTATAATATTGGAGACGCCCTTGGTGGCGCTATCAAACAAATCTCTTTGCTGCTTTTACTTTTTTACTCGTTTTGATCTTGGCTGAGTATACTCTAATTCGTCGTGTAGGTCCTGGGCTGATTACTGCTTCTTCAACCTCTTATCACATTTTTAGAGATTGTAAAAGGGAAAAAGTGTTATGTACCGATGTCGGCATGTCTTTTATTTCTATATTTTTTTGAGTGTAAGTTCATACGGTCTGTCATGACCTAAACAAGGATCAGTATTATTTCAGATATTAAATTTGTATTTAAGTACGTTATTAAATTTAAAATTTGAAATAGAAAAACAATCAAAGATTAGATTCTTTATTTCACTCGTTTTTAAAATAACAAATGCCGAAATCAAGGAGGCAAGCCTGTAAACTGATTCCGGAAACTAACTTAATTACAAAACTTAAGATAACAATAATATCTTCATCATAATAAATAATAATAATAATAATAATAATAATAATAATAATAATAATAATAATAATAATAATAATAATAATAATAATAATAATAATAATAAATAATAATAATAATAATAATAATAACAACAATAATAATAATAATAATAATAATAATAATAATAATAAAAGTAATGATCTTGAGGATGACACCATGAAGGAGTCGAAACATCGATCCCTCCCCCAGAAGTCGAGAGAAATAGGCTAGGCCTATAGGTTTTTGCATTAAAGATTGTTTTAAGTGACGCTTAAACATGGATATTAGGATTAAATTTCTAATGCAAGTAGGTAAGATCAACCAGAATTTTGGACCATGGTACAGTTTAATACTGTGCTGTATTATATACATAGGCCCTTAAATTGCTTGGTAATAATTTGTTGCTGTTGTAAAATGTTGATAAATCAGCGTTTTTTTTGGGGGTTTTTTTTTTTTGTTTCTGGTTGGAAGTTAATTTTTATTGATTTTTTCAAGGGTTTCAGAATGTTTTTAGACAGGATATCCTTGAAATTCTGAGTGCATTGTAATTTTTTTGTTTATAATACTGTCAGTCATTAGCTAGAATAAATTGCAAAAGTAGCCTCACTTGCATAATTAGGCCTAGAAGTTAAGTTGTTTAATTACCACTAATAATTTGGACAAGAACAAAAAAATCCCCTTCAATTACCCGGACATTAAAAGCATAAATAATACCGTTCCTCTATTCGTAACGTTGCGTCACCCTAAATTTGCCTGACTGGGTAATAAATCTGTTAATGAGTTTAGTAACGCGTCTGTCAACCAGCTATATTTTTTAGGATCCGTTTCTGAAATTCTTAACTCACTTAAACCTTTTAAATGACTTATTCAATATTGCTTAATTGAATTTTTTATTTTTGCAAGATTTTTTTTTTCAGTGTATCTCTCAAATAATTTACTGTGAATCATACGGTATTAAAAAAAGAATGAAATAATAATAATAAAAAAGTACATTATAGACATCGGTTGGTATCTATGGTAGCAAATTGTGAACCTATGACAAAAGACTGCCCTATGTGAGAGCATAAAAAAAGGCTGTTCATAGATTTGCTGGGACCCCCTTTCGATGGTTTTCGATTTGATTATCATGTTTTAAAAAGAAAGTAAGTCGTAGCAAATGGCAGGGAGTACATATATAACTATTTGAAAAAAAAACGTCCACTCGAATAAACACCCCCTAGAGCCTCATTTGGAATAACCCGTCCTTGAATACGGTAGTTAACCTTCTGATTTAATCGTATTTTTAGCCAATGTTGTATACGTATGTCGAATACATAAAAAATCAATCTCTCTTACACAAAATAGGTGCATGATGTTGATTTCTCTAAAAAAAAAAAAAAAAAAAACAAAATCCCCAATCATTTGAACACAAAAAACCCGGACAAAAAAATCAATGATCAGAAACCCATAAAAAACGTATATTATAGATTGATTTATTCATAAAATAATTATCACTTATTATTTCTTTCTTTTTATAACTATTTTATTGATGAAAATGCAACTTCATGACAAATCGGGCTGCTCACCTCCCTATACCAGCAAAATAGACATTTGTTCTGTAATAATTGATTAAAGATACACGAATCCGACAGTTCAAAAATGCATTATGCTATACAGTAAATATTTTTATAAACATGCTTTTACAATTTTGTCATAATTCTTTTTCTAATGCAATGGTATATTTGATATTGTTAAGTGAATTGAAGTAAAATGTTTAACCTGATATTATTTTGATACTTTATTGTTATGAAAATAGAATAAAAATGTTTACCTAAATTTATTTTGTTTCTAAATATTTGACATTAATTTGTCAAAGGTGGCCCAAGCTGAAGTGTCGCGACCTATATGGGCCTCCCTCCATTTTTTGTAATAATTTACCGTAGTGTTTTGTATTAAGATTTAACGACAATGGAAAATAAATTGATATTTACAATCTTATGTTTTACAGGTTGTTGATATTTGTTTTGTATTTCTGTATATTGATTGCATTCTCATGTAAATCTACATTTACATTAGACACGATTACGACACAACATAATACAAAATATGCGCACAGTGTTGAAGAATACAAACTACGCGATGATTATGTCATTGTCGCGTCGACAATTTCTTGTCTAGTGTAAACGTAGCTTAACTCCGCTTTGATGCTGCAGGCTAAGATAAAATAAAATTGAGATTAAATATTCATGTACCTTCACAGGTAGAACATTTTTCAAATGTATTGTTTGCATTTGGTTGATAAAGTACAGATCCTAAAAGGGGATTTTTCAGGAAGTTCCATGAGAATGTTTGATAAGAATAAAACAATGTACAGTACTTGGAATCAACAGTTTACGTCTGTCTGATATTTCATTTAATTTCACAATCATGTAAAAATAATGTTTAAATATTACAAAATATTAACAAAAACTGCCAAGTAGCTGTGGTGTAGATGAATTTGACCATACATACGCCAGAAGACAGCATACAAAATTTACCAATGTTATACAATATTAGGGTGTCAAGTGTTGGTAAGTAAAAATAACAAATAATATTTTTATAAAGAAATCTTGGTATCTTTTCGGAGGTCTCATCTTGTCATCAAATGATTGTTCCACTAAGTGGGTAATAAAATCTGCATTCTGAATTTTTGCATGAACCTCTCCCCTCCCCAGGCCAAGACCAGCATATGGCCTTCAGGTATGAACAAGTCCACACATATACGGTGCACATTCAAATACAAAAGTAAAAGATTAAAAAGTATTACAAAAAATGTGTATCATATATATTTTGCAATCCTTTAATATAAAATAAGAATATAATACTAATGATAAAAATATTAATTTCAGTGAAAAGAAAAAAGTTTTTGTAAATTAAAGTTAAATATTACTGTTCCTTTTATATTTACTTTTTCGTCTATCCCTTGCTCATAAAAACTTATAAGTATTCAAATCAACTATTTGCCTTTATCATTTTCTGTTTCTGGCAATGTTTTAAGTATCTACAATAAGCATGGTCATGCAATAACAGTTACACAAATATTTTACTAGCTTTAATAATAACTAACATAATAACTAGCATTACACCTGTGCTTCGCACAGTGTTAAGTGAGTAGGGGAAGGTGGCGATGTATATAGTTGATGTTATTGGAAGTTAGCAGGCAATCGTTGTGGATGTTATGTTTGCCTTGTCATAATTTTTCTGCAGGTGGTCTTTGAAAATGATGAGTCTTTGCTGAATAGTGCGTATTAGGAATTGTTTGATATAAGGCCTACATTAGGCCAATATTTATTTATTCATTTATTTTTCTTTTTTTTTTTGTTAGCCACGTTAGCCACGTCTTGAGAAAATCCCCAAATTGGGTAGGTCGGTAGCCAGAATGTGTTTACGCCTAAAAAGTGGAAAATACACAAATACAACAATTTTGGATTCGCATCGCATACCGTCCAGCAAAATAGGCTAGGCCTTGGCCTCAAGGCCTGGCCATTTTATTCCAGCCTTATTTGCTCATACAAAATATTGTTTGTTGTAAAATAAAAACAAACAAAAAAAAAAACAACTAAATTGTCGACCCTAAATTTCGTAAAATTTGGGTCAGTCGGGCGTGACCAACACAATTTTTATTTATTTGGCTACAGAGTAGGCTGGCCTAGTTGCTGTTGGGCATGAGAGATGCTTTTTTTAAATCAAGTTGGTGAATGCATGTACTAAATATAAGGCTACGGTATCTACATAATATGTAACCAGATGTAACTAACAAAATTACCTGTGGGTATGACCCTAAACTTCTCTGAAAATCATAATTGTACTTGAAATACTTTCAGAGATATTTGGTGGACAGAGAAAAACATAAAACATTATTTTAGTAGTATAGATATGAATATTATCCTTATGATAAAATATGATTTCATTGAAAAGAAAAATGTTACACTTGTCTTTGTAAGTAAATATTCCTGCTGTGTCTTTTACATTTACTTTTTTCTCTATCTTTTGTTCATAAACTTATACACAAATTTTCAAATTAACTACTTCCCATTATCATTTTCTGTATCAGCAACGTCTTAAATGTCTACAATAAGCATGTACGTATTAAAATGTGAACCCATGGTCTTGCAATAATAGTTAAACAAATATTTCATAATCCTTTAATATAAAATATGAATATTATCCTAATGATAAAATATTATTTTATTGAAAAGAAAAATCTTACACTTGTCTTTGTAAGTTAAATTTAAATACTGCTGTCTTACATCTAATTTTTTCTCTATCCTTTGTTCATAAACTAATACATAAATATTCAAATTAACTATTTCCCATTATCGTTCCTGTTTCAGCAACATCTTAATTGTCTACAATAAGCAAGTACGTATTAAACTGTGATCCCATGGTGTTGCAATAGTAGTTAAACAAAGTAATAAAATCCAAAAGGTTTATCACAGCATGTAGACATCAATTTTCTTTAATTATAATTTGACAGTTTATGTACGAAAGGGAGATAGAAAAAGTAATTTGCACAGCTGCAAATCCAATGGAATGTAATGAATGTATGAAATTATAAAATTATATTTATTGTTTTTAGTTTCTGCCGCAAGGTACTTTTGTCGTCGCCGTCCGTCATACGCAGAACAAGTTTTTGAAATATTCTATCCTGCTTTGTTGCGAAAAATATTTCTTTGAGTGTTTTCTCTGTCAATTCCTCTAGCATTGACATAATTTCTAGGGTCAGAACAAACAGTTGACCTTTCACGGATTCAGGGATGTAACCCATGACCTCTAGGTTGTGGCAGAAAAGCTGACCAATAAGAAATCCTTTAGCTTGATCGGTAGAACTGCAATCTTGAATATTACCCAGAAGTTCCTGAAAGACAAATTGTCAATGGACAATAATTAATATTAAAATAACTTGTAAAGGGCCTCTGGTATAATGGTTTAGATGACCACTTTCCAATTCCTGGGTTGTAGGTTCTATTCATAAAATATGATTTTCATCATGAATAAAACACTTAATTAAAAATATATTTATAATTGTTATTATTTTTTTAATTTAATTTGCTTTGTCATTTTTGTTGTTGGCTTAAAAGACAAATTATATATATGCTCCAAAACAATAAAAACAATTTAATAACAAAAAGACTTGTCCTTGATTTAATGTTGCATTTTCACATTTTTATCTTAATCTTCATGAAATAGAGGGGTATCTGTGGTAGTCTAAACTATACAAACAGGGACAAGACAGGTAGCACTTTTGAGATTAACAAATACTTTATTAGGTGACTGAATCAGTCAAGTTTGTAAATGGAAACTTGTGCTTAATAAAATATTTGTTAGCCTTAAAAGTGCTACCTGTCTTTTCACGTTTATTTTCATCACAAAAATTAAACCATGATGATTTGAAATGTTCTTTTCTAAGCATTATTTTTCTTTTAACTTTTAAGTATTATCTTTATGTTTGAGGATTTAATAAAAATTAAGAAAGATAAGTCAATTGTCTCTTATACACATCTAGTACGAATGCACAAAGTAGAGTCGTATACGTTGACATAATAGACATAAAACAATTTTTTATTCGAGCACAAGTGCAATAACATGAGGTAGCTGGACTGTTATAATTCATGATAATATTTTCATACTGTAAATATTACAAGATAAATAAACCTCATATTCAGGCCAGATTCTCCAAAGTAATCAGTCCATTTTGCCTAATATAATTTCCTTTAATTACAACTGCTAATCCCAAAGGGGACTTTTGTGAGGGCATGCTTATTGTTTAGAATATACAAAAAAATATCTAATCAAATTTTGTCAATTAAATCAAAAGCAAATGGAATAGCCCAAAACAACCCTGATGAAAATGGACTATTCTCCTTCCTTTTAATAACATGACTAAAACTATAAAAAATACTACAACATCAATGCTTCAAATAAATTCTGTTGGTGTTGCTTGTAAGGGAAATTATTCAGAGGAAATTTCTTTTTAAAACTGAATTATATTTTTGTTTGTGAAGTTCTTTATGAAGCAGGTAAGATCATATTCTGTACCTTCATTACATTAACATAGCATTTCACTGTATGTTTCCAAATACCGGTTGCATGGCTCCAGGGGCAAGACTTGCTCCCCAGCAGTTCAAAGATCATTAAGAAGAGTGAACTAATGCCTAGCTGAACTGCATATTCTGTAGAGATATAAAAACACTAAATTAATGATAATAATATTATAAATAATACATAGGAATATAGTGGTAGTTTTCAACCCATGTGGCAAAAGTATAGAGATAAATTTAAGAAAAATTTGGTTGATATTAAATTCATTAAGGGCAATTTTATTTGCTTCTGGATGTGAAAGAAATAAAAAAAAAGATGTGGATGAAGAGATATAACTGTGGAATGGACATGAACGAGATGGTATTTACAGTGTGAATTGTACATTATTGACTGAAAAAAAAACACTTATAATGTTTGAACAAATTCATCACTGTCAGCTCACACATGATATATCATTTGATAGTAAATGAACTGGATATTTAAAAAAATTGCTATATCATATGGTAACTGTTATACATTTAGATGGAAGGGGGGCGACAAACATTGTCTGGCTGAAGAACACTAGTAGATGCCACAAACCTTTAAAATCTATCAGTGGAAGTGCACATATGAATTTAGCACTAAGAGGCACATGGATTTTCTTCCTCTCCAGTAGTTTTCCCAAAATCTTTGTTATATTGGACCACTCCGGCTGTGTACACTGAGGTAAGAGCTGGACTAGTGCCCGTACCAGGGCTACCAGCAACCCATCGTTGGTGTCATGGTGGAGAATACTCTGAAATGATAAACAATAAAACCCTGTTAGCTATTTAAAAAAATTTGCCTTCATCCTACCACTGCACACTGGCCAACAGAGAGATGTGAATAAAGAGTGTAGTAAGAGAAGACACCACAAAACGCTTGTTTTGAGTGTAAACAAATAATATTCCCATATACGCAGCTATGGGAGGACGCCTGTCACTGTCTGTATGTTATTATAAGCAAATTCATAGTTTGAACTGCACATGCTCGTATCCAAGGTCAATCGAGGTCAATCAAGACAAACCCATTTTGTGTGTATACTTGTTTATGTCGGTTGACCTTGATACTCGGCATGCACAGTTTAAACTACGAATTAGCTTATTACCGGTAGTACATAGCGCAGCTGTATGTTTGATTTGTTCTCCACAAAATCGATAGTACAAACGCGTCTATTCACTGTTCAAAGTTCTAGCGGGCACACTTCCATTTCACAGATGCAATATTAGTAGAGAAACAACGACTGCACTTTAATTACTGCAATGGTGACATTCATGGTGTAACTAGGTGTGATTTTTTTCCAAACAGAACTGTGGTTTTTTTTATCCCTTTAATACACTTTGATAACTACAGGTCACAACTTTCATTAGTTAATCAATATAATTAATTAGTTAACAGATTTTAGTACTCGGGGCTTACAAAATATTAGCAAGCAATCTTTATGATTGATTCTAGTATTTTTTCTATATCAGACAGCAGGCATATTCCGTGGGCGAGACAATTTATCAGTGATGGCTTGCTTTATCTTTCTTTTCAATTTCTGTTGGTGTTGATTAGCTTCAACGATTTTTACTTTCCAAAGAATTTCAATTTCAGTTTTCATAGAGTTGTCAACTACCATATTTAGTCTGACAACTCGATACATGAATTTATCAACTAAAAATAGTTCGGAAAAAATAATATGGTGGGTAGGACAAAAATATATCCCAAATTTGTTAATGTCATGATGAAATGGTTGGTTTCAGTTTTTAATCTATTGCAACACATCCTTTATTATTGTTGTTACTCTCATTATCAGTTGAAACTCTCATTATCAGTTGAAACTGAAAGGGGTGCCTATTCCTGTAATCTCTCGATGATATTTATGCAAGGGTGGTGGTTAAGATGATTACCTTCCAAACTCATGATATACTGTAGGAGTGAACCTGAATATTTTTGGTGGTTAAGGTGCCTGCCTTCCAATTTTAGAGTCCTGTGTTCGATTCATGTGACAGCAGAAATTGTTCACATGACTAAATTCAACTCCACTCCCTAAACGCTCATAATTATGAGGCTTAGTTTACTGAGCATAACTGGGGTATGTGGTAGACAGTAGATGTCTATAAAAAACAGTAGATTTCTAATGAAACTAGTGTTAAGAAAAAATAAATAAAATCTTGTAAAAGAGCATGCTGTAAACTTGCATAACTGGGGTATAATAATAATAATAATATGTCGTTCTTATATAGCGCTTAATGCCTTAACAAAGCCTCTAAGCGCTTCACATTATTACCCCGGTCATTGGATCAAACACATATGGAACACAATGAACACTAAACGAAATTATTAAATTAAATATGCGGTAAAACAGTAGATGTCTAATAAAAAACAGTAGATTTCTAATGAAACTAGTGTTAAGAAGAAAAATTAAATCTTGTACAAGAGCATGCTGTAAACTTCAACTAGGCCTATAGGTGTCATAATATTTTCATCTGGGTCCTAACCACTGACGATGGCCAGTTGGCAACGGCTAAAAGCTGAGTAGTAAAATCAGGCTAATTTTAGAATGAGCATGTTGAGTATTTAAGTACATGCATTCATTACTACCTGCTTAACAGGTGAAAAAACTGATCAGACTTAAAAAACATTTTCAATACAAAAGATACTTGCATCAGACAGCAGTCCTGAAGACCTACAATAATCAATGAATAAACTCAATGAATGATGATAAAAAAGAAAAAGAACTTAATTACCAAAGTACATTAATATTATCAATAATATTATCATTAATATTATTATCAATAATAGTAAGAATGTTGTTATCATTACTGTTATTACTATTAGTCTATTATAATTATTAATAATAATACTATTTAAGTATATAAAAAGATATCTTATTCTTTGGTAATGATGATTTGCTTGTTTTTCCCTTTTTGCCATTTTATTGTTAACTAATTTCAAAATGTATTTTTATGTATTTCATGCAATGTAAATCATTTCTAAATTTTAGTAATGTTCACATTTTATATGAAATTTTAAAAAAGAGATGGTTATCTATTATTATACTCAAATGTGTATTTTTGTACTGTATGTGCTGCCAGGAGAGCCCTGTGACAGTAAGTCTGCATTGCTTTTGGGCAATCGGGCCAGTCTGCCATACATTTTTATTGTTTCACTGGTGAAATTAAAAATGATATGAAAAAACATGTATCATTTTCATGTTAGCATTTGAACCTAGACCATTATAATTTCCAATGCAGCACTTTTGGTATCAGGTGTATTTTCTCAGGTGCACATTAGCCATGTACTGTACACAGCAGTATCCATCAACACATCCTGTTAATGATGGAACGCCATTAAAACTAAAGCTTACATCATAAAAGGTGTCCACGGATGTGGAGCACGCGATTTACGCAAATTAGCGGCACACTTTCATTAGACATGTCTGGCAGTGTCTAGATTGCCTTGCACTATTATTACTATTATTATAATTATCTGATGCTTTCTCCTTGCGAGATTAAGGAAAAAAGGTAAGATTTAGATGGTTTTCAAGTATATTACAGAGTTAATTATTATTATTGTTATTTTGTCTGGATCTCGCAGCCAGTGACTCACTATTCTGTGTTTCTTGAAAGCCACAATAAGAGGCTTAGGGAGTGGAGTTGTTTTTTATCATGAGAAAAACAATGCCAGTGTTTTCAGCAGGATTTGAACCCCGGACTTTGGGACTGAAGAACACACATTTGACCATTCCATTTTACTTCAATAATATCCCTAAATGAAATTGAATGTCATTCTTTTCATTTCTTGACTAAATTAAATACAGTATGCAAAATTAATAATGTCTGTAATACAGCTAGAGTTTACTGTATTTTTTATTACTGCTACCCAGGGGCTGCGGGTTGCAGAGTGCCAATCCCATAGAGTATCAATGTGAGGGTTTTGGAGGTGGTGTTCCCCTAACTATAGATATAATTAAATTAGATCACCACTAATTTTCAGTTATACTTTGATTTCATAAATGTGCTTTCTTACATGCGTATTAGAAGCTATTTCTGGGATAGATGCAGGGGTGGTGCCAGGATTTGCCCGATGGGGGTCCAAAGTTCCCCAACGAATCGCCCAAAATGTCTCGAAAGTGTCCCATGGGGGCAAAGCCCCCCAAAAAATATGACAATTTAGGGGTTTTGAAGGCTTATTTAATCGACTTTAGAGTAATAATATGTAGAAAATACAAATACATTTTTTTCTCCTCACCAAATTGTAGTTTTCCTTTCCGACGGGGGCCTAGCCCGCCGTCCCCCCCCCCCACAGGCGCCACCTCTGGGAGATGGCATAATATAATGGCTTTTATTACTGATGACGATGATGATTCATGATAATGACAATGATGATGATAATGATGATAAAGATGATAATGATTATAAAAATGATAAATAAAAATTAAAAGTACAATGAAAAATATAAATCCGGAAAGAAACTGATATCATCGATGAAAAAAACCCCAATATATTCAATGTTTTACAAATTTCTTTAAGAAACATATTAATGATAAAAAATTAGAAAACATATTAAGATCAGATGATCTTCTGTCATCACCTTGTACACACTTGCTCAACGATCCATTCATAAATACCAACCAACCATCGCAGCAAATCATTAATTTACAACAGCCGCAGTATCAACACCATCAGTACATATCTCTCCCATACCTCTATCCACAACAACCTCGCGATAAATTTCAAGATCAATTCTAAATTCTGAGACTGTTTACATTCTGTATACATTACTGGGAGGCAATCTCGGAGGCCTTGAGATTTTTTTAAAAAAACATCTTTAATGAAAAGAGGAGGAGTCATCGTCAATCTCGCTCATGATAAATCTTTCTATTCCGATTTCTTAATCATGGCTATCTCAATTTACCAAGTCATGTAAATCAATGGATTGAACAGACTTGCTTGGCATTTTAATTTTTGAGGTTGAGTCGTGTCTGGCTTTGGAATTTTTCACACTTTCACATACAGGACATTTCAGTCTCTGCTGGGAAAACAACCCAACTAGCCTCACTTTCAGTCACTGTATCAGTAAGTAAGCACATTTTATCTTTAGTATAAGAGATTGACTTAAGGCAGCTATTTTGTTTTTGACATTTTTGAAATGGATATATTTACTATACTTGTAAATCACATGTATTTCTGTGTGTTGGATTTTAAAACAGGACAAGTTTTAAAATAAACTTTTCCAGAAATCTATTAGCAGTCCATTAATGATGTTATTAGTGTTAAAAATGTATGCTTTCTGGATTTAAATGACATTAATAATTATACTCATATGACCTACTTTATATGAAGGTTCACACCTCGCATATAAGTGAGTTGAGAAAGGAAACATTTCTGTGTATGTTTCAGGATTTTAAAAACACATTAATATTCTTATGACTACATTTGAATGAATATTCAACCCATCCACATAACACAGGTGGGGGTGGTAGAGGATGGGGGGAGGTTGTGTTATCTGTAAATTATGCTTGATGATATATATTATATAATAACTTTTTTGACCACCTCTCTATAAAGGTGTACACAGCAACCCCACATACACCAGAAGGAGGGGGCGGGAAAGAATTACATACGTAAATTAAATATGCTTTAGGAATTAATTTATACAAACCCTGACTTAATAGAATCCTCACATACAAGAGGCGAAAGGAAACATAAATTTAAAAACATAAGCTTTAGAACTCAAATTACATAAGGATTAATGATCATGACCCACTTTGTATGAAGGTTCACACCCTACCCCACCTGGCCTCACATACAAGAAGGAAATGTCATTATGCATGGAGGAAATATTCCTCAATGGTATAAACATATGCTTTTAGGCTTAATTGAATTTTCCAATACAATTCCATTCACCTTCTATTTCGGATCAGTTCCATAGATCGTACAATAAAAAAAAAATTTTTAAAATACATAAATTACATAATCAAAATCAGGGATGTGTACCTTCCTCCCCTTCACATTTGTGTCTGTTCACCATTACTTTTTTTTTTATAGTTGTTTTAGTGGTTTAAACTGTGAGACAGTTTTATTGTGGAAGACGCTATAAAAATGCATGACAATTGACCATAATGATTAACTTTTGTTAAGGTTGAGACTTTACATATTGGGAGAGGGAAAGGAAATTATACAAGAGCAGGGGGGTCAGAGGTCCCCGAAGTGGAAGGGGCCATTTCCACGATGTGAGCAAAGTGGGCATGATTGAGAGCCCCCTAAAAAATATGACAATTTAAGGGTTTCAAAGGCTTATTTGATCAATTTTAGAGTCTACTAATATGTAGAAAATACATTTTATATTTTTTTCTCCCCGACGAATTGTGGCTTTTCTCCACGACGGGGGAAAGCTGGCGTCACCCACGTACAAGAGCATTACATAATTTATGGTTGATATTTATATTATATAATGATTAACCTGTATGACCCACATTGTATGGAAGATCACCTAAGATAGGAATGAGAGAATATTCTGCCAAGCTTAAAGGACAAAATGTCCAATACAGTATATATCTGGAATTATGGCTCCTTCCCCTGTTTCCATATACTGAACACATCTACAAACACACATCTTGACAAATAATATACTATAATGGCTATTTAAAATATTTAATATTGATAACTTATGTGAAATAATTCAAAGTTTTTAAATGTATAATTTAATCATTTCTATGTGTAACTGCATCACCTGACATCCAACATATTCAGGTTGACCGAATACTGTGGGATAAGTCTAGAATTTTCTAATGGCTGATGTTGAGTTTAGATTAAACGGGAGAAGGAATACCATATCGGCTGAAATGTGAGGAAACCATAAAAACTGAAATTAATTGTGCTTTTGAGAATTTCATAAATCCACCAGAAATCTTAGCATTTTATCATAAGTGTCGCTTACTCTCTAAATTTATTTTATCATAAGTGTCGCTTGCTCTCTGAATTTCTGCCTTAAGAAAAATTATATCTGACGTGAATTACCTCATTATCTTATTTCCTTTCAAAATTATGAACAAATCAATAAGATTTTATTATTACAATTAAGTATATTAATTGCAAAAATAACTAAAATTAAAATTATAATTCATAATAAAGAATTCTGACAGAAATTATATTATTCTATCATAATAATGATGAAGATAATAAAGAATTCTCCTGGCAGGAAATTATACTACTACTGTATGATAATGATGATGATGATAATGATGATGATGATGATGATGATATTGATAATGATGATGATAATGATGACAAAAAATTGATGCGGTACATAATTACTAAATAAAGTACAGGAATAAAAGGATGCTGTAGTATTAAATACTGGAGGGTATCTAATTTCTAATAAGAACAAATGTGTTTATGAACATTACTGACTACATTACTATTCAGGAACTGACACATGGTGTTAAATGGAAGAGCAAAAATAAATCTTGCTAAAAAAAAAACATACATATTTATCATTATGTATCGTATATTGAGGACAAAACCTTTGGGTATTCATTTTCAAATGGAGAAAAAAAGAAAGTTATATTAAAATTCTAACTCTGAGGGTACCGTTTCCAGCCATCTATATGTGCTGCAATCATAGATTTTCCATGGTGGGCCTGAGGTGATCTAGACCCTCATTTGTGAAAGGTCCTCCATGGGCCCCTTAATTCAAATTACCAGATACACCACTGACATGGCTGAATTTACATCCCTAAAACTATCTACCCTTAAAAATAATTTGTATATCTTTAGCTTTATTAACTTTCAATTGAAAAATTAAAATTAAAAAAAAAAAAAAATCATAAAAGAAAAATTACCCATCATAAGGTCTTTAAGACAAATAAATTGGCTGGTAATCAAGTTGAGGATTTCTATAGTAAAAAGTCTTTTTATCATTTTATCATTAGAAATTAATAAGTGACGTCATGTTGTAAATTCTCTTTTTTTAGGATTTTCTTTATTTTACCTTCAAAATGGAGATAGAAAAAGCTATGTATTTACTTTATATTATATGATAATAAAGTGCAGATAGTTTAAGATGTATAAACATCGGATTTCGAAAGCATGCATGATTATATCAACTGAGATTAAAAACAATTCAATCACAAATTGAGCACCGCAATATTATCTTAAGTGCACTTTTACTTTTACCAATGTTACCTTTACAGGATACTGTATGGATTGAAAAGTAAACACTTCCTAAGAAATTAGTAGCATTTCCATTTACCAAAAAGGAAATCTAGCATTAGAAAAACTGCTGATCACTGTAGGTTCAGCCTTGACGCAGCCTACAGAAGTACCACATAATCATTGAGAAAATAGAAGGCCTTAAGCAGGCCAGAGTACCACGTAAAAAATCCAAGTGAATTTTGTATCTTTGCAGAGAAAAAGACTTTTGCTAGTAAATCTATGATATAAAGTTTTATGATTGAAGAGATAATAAGTGTGACCATCATACTCCTACGCCTGTAACTACTATACCAAGATTTGATTACCAGCATCTAAAACGATATTACAGTACAGAGAGATATCTATGACACACTTACAAGCAGTAGGTAATTGACACAGAACTGCTGATAACAAAACTATATAAACGGTAAGTAAATATATACATTGATCTATTCTTTCTTATTGCAGACACAGTACTTGTGTACTGTCTTCCTAAGTGGTACAGATACACAAGACATTAGGATCATGGCCGCCGAGCGGACCATGGCTCTTTGCAGTGCAGTTGCTGGGAACACAATGACAGGGATCTCTCAGGGCCCAGCGGTGGAAGGGCCAGTTGAGATAATGGGATAAGCCCTAGGATACAGCCTTTTATGTATAGACAAGACTTTTTTTTAACCAGTGCTTTTGAAAATCTCTACTGGTATGGGGAACTTTCCCCACTTGTAGAACTTGTATTGTTCTAACATTCAAGTTTTTCAAAATTGTTTTGTACAAAACCACCTGATCCTGATGAAATTCCTTTGTTGCATGTGGCAAGACAGATATCAGCACACATGGACATCAAATCATACTTTTTTTAGAGTACCGTATTATTAGTCTGCTTTAAATTTCATAATAATATCGTTCAACTTGTAATATAGAAGATGCTAGTTAACTCTATGCACTTAACAAGACGTCAACAATGATAATATTTTAAAATTACAATGGAATTACTGAGTTTGACTTTGAAGAATAAAATGTATATTGAACTGGTTGGTTCTCTGAAGTTCAATCAAACAAATTTATTCAAAGCATTACAATAGCCTTGCTCTGTCAGACAAATTCATGATATGTCATATAGGATGATTTAGACCACAAGTGGGCAAAGTGTGCCTCAAGATTTCTGAGTTCCTTGTGCATACGTTATACAAATCCCCAACTATTACCATTACATACGACTCAACGGTAATTTTGTTGCGGTGTTACAGCCTACCAGTTGGCCAGAAAACTCTTTGTTGTTACAGCCCGACTCTGATCATCTGTAAAAAGTAATACTAAAACTCAGCATAAAGCGGTATAAAAGTGTGCATGAAGGTTTTCTGGAAGCACACTACAAATATCAAAGTTTGGGTGCAGCCCCATTGTTAAATCAAAAATTCACTTGGTCTTTCAACCACTTTTATGCACTTCAAACTCTCAAACCTCCCATCCCTTCTATAGGTGGGATATACTGTACTTGACAATTTCTGTTTGCTTTTATTGACAGCACCATAATGACTCAGCAAGCAATGTGCTTTGACACCTTCATCAGAATATGTCAGTGTCCAAGTTTGCCAAATTTAAAGGTTCCGGAGCTGCCTGAATTACCATCATTATCTACAACAATAACTAATGTTCTCCCAGAAATAAAACCTAATATAGAAGAAGCAGACACTTATCAGGATGATGATGGTACAGGTATTGGTAAAGTTTTGACTTTATATTAGAAAGTTTCCTTAATAAATATCTTGCCTATACACATTCTTTATCAAACTGGACAATGAATATACCAATTGAAGATGCACTGCAGACAACCTTTGCCAAGATCCCAAAGCATTCAGAATTACTAATATTATAAAATATAGCCAGTTATTTGGTTTAAAGCCTCTTTCCCGGCAAAATTTCACTAAAAAAAAGGATCGAGTATGCTTGAGATATGTTTGTTTAATTGTCAAAATGTCGGTCAGAATAATTTTTTTAACAAATTTGAAATAATTCCAATGAAATATTATATTTCACTTGTGTCAATTTTAGCAATGGAAAATATCATGTCGGCCGTTTTTATACATGATAACTGAACCTAAATCGAGCTAAGGCTAGGCCTATCCAACACTAGGCACCGTGTTGTTTCCGGTGCCTACTATATTTCTTAGCAGACCTATCACAAAATCAAACATAAAAAATTCATCCGCATTTATTTTTTGTGTGGAACACGAAAAAAAAAAATCAAATTTTAGTCTTATTTTACATTTTTCTCATGTTTAGCAATGTCCAAGTTCAGCAATTTCGTATTATAACACATATAAAAATCAAGATTTTTCTTAACTAAAATTTTGCTGGGAATGGGGCTTTAATTTTAAGTTGGTAAAAATGTTAAAAATATCTGTTGTGAATAATTGTTCACATTTAAGTTTCATAAATCCTCTCTAATGTGGGTTTTTGTAAGTAACTAAAATAAAGTGACATAATAATTAGATCCCAGTCTACCACCAATGGACACAGAGGGCCCATTAATTGTCGATTGCAGTCTGAATAGGTCGTCATTAAAAAGGATCTGTTGCATGCTTATCATGGTGCTGTGTTGTCCGTAGAATCACATCGGCTGGCGACCGTCAGGCGCAACGAGTGGCCAGCTTTATCTGGTACATTGAGGATAAATCAAATTATCGGTACCATAAGGGACACACTGAGAACCATTGATAAAGACCCTCTAAGTCAGTCAATGAAAAACTTCCCTTGCTTTAGCTACCTGATAATAATTTAGATAAATAGAAAATTCAAGATAAACAATAATGATAATAATAGCATCTGCTATTAGAGCAGACATCGATCTTATTACTGAATTAATTATTCATCTTGTCTACAATGGAGGTATATACTTTAATGCTTAAATAATATTTTATGATAGTGACTCATCCAGATCAAATCAGTTGATCCTTGGATTACTATAATTTTATGTAATGGAACTTTTCTATACCTGTTTTATGAACACGCCATTGTTATTTTTTTTTTTTTACTATTAGCACACTTTTATTAAGCTTCCTGTGCTGCCTCCTTAAAATCTAAAAATAAATCTGTATTTTTTCCTCAAAATTTAATAAATATGAAGAATATTTACATCTTTAATAGCATAACATTCTTTAAGATTATGTGATAAGATCTAAAGAAAATGCCTCCATCAAATAAACGCACCTCCCACCCCCACTATATGACTGCAAACATATCTAATGGAAACAACATCATTCTCAACACATTCTATTAATGTTGTTCTTCAGCAGAATTATACATTTCTAACCTGGATGGGATTAATAAGTCTAAGATTACGTACTAACAGTTAACACATTTTGATGGTAACTATGTGTTGAAGTTACTGTAGCCTCCTTCCATACAATGTATTTGTTTCAATTCTTTTGCATTCTTATTGTATATTGTATTACTTTTTTTGTATGGAAAATAAAAGTATATTTGATTTGAAGTTCAAAATTTACAGTGAAATTAAGGGGCGTTTATTTGAGTATATACAAATCCATCTACAACAAAGGAAATAAACACAAACTCCCCCTCTTCTTAAATAAACTCCCCCTCCTCTTAAATAAACACCCCCTCAAAAACACATCTCAACAATAAATTCCCCAGAGCATTTATTTGAATACATACAGTAAATTATTTTATTGTGTCTATAATAACCACGCCTCTTATTGTTTTATTTTGATAGCAAATGTGAAAATAATAATAGTATGCGTCATAGCAGCTATTTTTGGGATCATCTCTATGGTTATCGTAGTTGGGTTAATTTACACAAAGTGTATTAAGAAAAGGTAAGAGTTCCTTTTTATTATTCTACGATAAGTGTTAGATGCGGATCCAGAATTTATACAGACTATGGCACAGGTGGGGTCTCTGGGCGGATTCAGAGCTTTATACTTATAATGGTGACAAGTAGAGGGCGGGGTCGAGAGCGAAGAGAGCGTAATTTGTGGTTGTTCTGTCAAACTGAAAACAATGTTGAATGAATATATCTAGCCTGGGTTGAAATTAGGCAAAATATGCTATGGCAAACAAATATCATCGCACTTGAAATTTCCGACTTCAGAAAAGCTATACAAAAACCATGTAGTTAACTTAAGATATTAAAATATGCACAATCCAATCCAAAAAGGGTGAGCGAAGCTATCCTATACCTTCGCGTTCTTTTGTCTTTGTTTCTTGCGCTTTGAAAGCGCCTTGAGACGGTTTTCTGTGGAAGGCACTATATAAATATACGACCATTGACCATTGTTCAATATAGTTATAATGTACACAGCAATTATAAACAAATCAATAAAGAATATGTCTGCTTCATCTACTAATTGTGTTCATTCAAAAATGTGCTAGATTTTGTGGAGAAAAAATACCAATACAACAATGACTTTACCATGCAGTGGATGTTATTAGTTTAGTATCAGCATTTCAATATAATTATTGTTCAATATTGATTTTAAAAGAAAATCTAATAAAATATCATATCACTTTTCGTTAAAGTTAATGTTTGCAATGATAGAATTTCTGATCTAAAAAACAAATAAGTAAATATATACTACAGCTGTTGTACACCCACGAAAAACCATGAGATGTTTTAACATCTAACAACACTATTTTTTATATTTTATAACCGGTCACTTTTACTCTGGCACATAATGTTGGTATAACAGGAAAAATATCAAAGTGACATAGGAAAATTTGTCTTCCTAAGAACATGGCTATTTAGTAAAAAATGATATAATATTATGTTTAAAATAACCATGGACGCTTGGCGGAAATAACACTTTCAGGTATTAAAAAATGGTTTTTGGAGTGTGTATGTATTAATTTAATTTATTTTTTTAACATAAGCTTTCCAGCATCTAGTTGAAATATAGGGCAAAATATGTTACAGCAATTCTTCAGAAAACGAATGTCATCTCAATCGAGATTTCAGACATTTAACAGAGAAAATGCTATGCAAAAGCCATGTGGTTCACATTTTAAGAGAATAAAATCTAATGCATATTCCAAAACTGTACGGAACAAAATTTTTATCAGTTTACAAATTATTAAAAATTTGAGATTTACTTTCCATGCATTACAGTAAAAAAAATTATTGTTGGTTTAATAGCTTAGAATATATGTATATTTTTAGTTCAGTTTAATCTTATCAATATAATTATTGTTCTATATCGATTCTAAAAGATAATGCAAAACAAAATTATGTCACGTTTATTTGAAATTAATGTTTTCTGATCTTACTACTAAAACTCTGAGTTACTATATTTTATATACTTTATAATTGGTCAGAAGCATTTCATTTTGGCTACCACAGTGCCGGCATTACTGATTCAGAGCTGGGGGGAGGGGGACGGAGGGGAAAATGCGCCACTGGCATATCCTGCTTTGTAAGAATAATTGCTATTTACAATAAAAAGTGAATGTTGTATTATTATTCTATTTCCAAAACAACTTAATTGCCTTGGTAACATACAATAGGCCTATTGGTCAAGGGGGTCTAGCCTGCCGAACATTCCCTGCTGCTCATAGATTGCTGCCTATTAATAACAGTCTATTGGAAATAACATTGTTATTCATTAAGTTGCAATCACTTTTTTTTAATACTTTTTTTAAACTTTTTTTAAATCTCTCATCCTGACCTTCGCCATGGCGAATGGTGGGAAGGTTTGGATCCGTGCCTACATGTTATGCTATTACAAAATATGTCTCTGTATGTTCAGTGCAAGGTGGTATGTAAGGCCCTCAGGTATTTTTTTCTTTCATTAATCTAACGTTCATATAATAATTTCCGCATAGTGTATGATATGCAACTATTCTAATTGCTTATTATTAATATCCTTTATACCTATTTGTTCAGTGAAAGAATTATATAGTAGTTCTTTATCAAAATAGTAGGTAAAAATAATGCGTCAACCAGGTTTTGTGGTGAGTACAAGTTTGTGTACAGATTAAAAGATGTCCTAATTTGAATACAATGCACCCTCCAATCCAATACCCTATTCAGACTAGCATCGCATTGCGATCGGTTGCAGCAATTGCGACACCCAGTTGCACCCAATCGCAAAGTAACATTGTGTGTGAAAGCTTACCAATTATAGTAGTAGATAATCCAATCGCAGCGAATCACAACATATTTCCACAGGCACTGTTTGGCTGGGGTCAGTCAACATAGGCCTAGTCACCGGAGGCCTAGGCCTTAGAATGTAAAGTTTTTTCGTGTTGGTCTGAATGCGCTCGTTGATTGCATTCGGGAGTAATCAGTTTTGGATTACCACCGATTATATCGCAACCGATCGTAACAGAGTGCAGTCTGAATAGTACAAGACCCCTTTACTTTCGAGATCACTATTTCAAAAAAACAATAACAATCATCAATCTTCTGACACAAAGCTAACCCCAAATTTTCAAGTCCCAAAGTGGTCTTGAATTCGAGGGCGAACTATAGTACAAATTCTCACAGGGATATGACTGTCAGATGTCTACAGATACAGCCCCTAACTTTGCACTATGAAGTTGGATGTTATTGTATGCACCAGCAATATGGTTGTACTGTATGTAAGACCACATTAAAAAGGTTCAGTAAAGCAAAAAATTTGATTAAGAACATCCTCTGGGACTAAAATAGATAATAAATTGAAATTGGAATATTCAACAACAAAAAATGCCGATTAACTGACACATACAACAACAACAACAATAATAATAATAGTAATAATAATAATAATAATAATAATAATACTAATAATACTGTACTGTAACTGTACAAAAAACAATCTGAAAAATTAATAAGAAAAACAAGAAATGCTTAACATATATTTTTGCTTATGCTATTAAATTGAATGATAATCAGATTTTAAATAATAAAAAGCCCATTTAATTAGTGTCTCATTGGAAATTGTTCAACATAGTTGATTCAATTCTGAATGAGTAAATCAATGTTCTCATTGAGTTTTTGATGATTTTTTTTGTCAAAGAATTTATCTTTATTCATACTAGCACTATCTTTTTATCTTTTTTGTGTGATTGTTAAAAACTTTCACATAGAATTCATTGTTCAATTCCTGAATGTTTTGTTCTGAGAAGGCACATAGGCATACTTTCACACACTGCATGCAATGCTTTCACTTCTATAGAATCACTTCCTCTGTTTTCACAAGTGATTACTTACAACACAAGTTGCATCAGATACATGTGATCATTGGCAGCAACATTAATTTGTTTTTCAATTTAAATTGAGTTGATACAATATCTAGAAGTAGAGATATGGCCTATAGGCACTTACAAAAGCAAAACTTGGAAAACATGACTTCAAAGATAAGATTCTTGTGGGAGAACATAAATTTGTTATGAGCTTTCAATTAAACATTGAAACTAGAAGGGAATTCTTAAACAAAATACTTTCTATGGTTCTGTCCACACATGGTCCACACGATCAAATGTTCTTTGAAAAAAACAGTTGTATGCCCATATATAGTGATGATGTGCCTATATACGGTCATGGTGTGATGTCACATGACCATATTTAGGCATGTCACATGTTTTTGTTAAATAAAATTATTTGATAGTTTGGATAGGGCTTAAGGACCATGCTGTTGACACCATTGCAAGTGTTATGATATTAAAAGTATGGTCCTAGAATTGATATAGGTATGGCCCTAGAATTGATATAGGTATGGCCCTAGAATTGATATAGGTATGGCCCTAGAATTGATATAGGTATGGCCCTAGAATTGATATAGTTTGGAACTAGAATTAATAATAATATGTCGTTCTTATATAACGCTTAATGCCTTTACAAAGCCTCTAAGCGCTTCACATTACTACCCCGGTCACTGGATCAAACACATATGGAACACATTAAACACCAAATTAAATTATTAAATTCAATTATATTATTATTCCATAATATTGCGGCTAGTAATCAGCGCAGTTGTGTTGGAACCTACCAGGTACCCACTTGTACTCCTGGGTGGAGAGCGGCAACCATAGATAAAGTGCCTTGCCCAAGGACAAAAGCGATTTGCACAGCGAGAGCTTCAAACCCCCAACCTCTAGGTTTGGGAGTCCAAGCCACAACCGATGAGCCAACTGCTTCTACATCTCCAGAATCAATATTCTTTGGAACAAGAATTTATATATGTATGGTCCTAGAATTGATAGAGGGATGGCCCTAGAATTGATAGAAGGATGGCCCTAGAATTGATATAGGGATGACCCTAGAATTGATACAAGTGCGGTCCTAGAGTTGATACAGGTGCTGTCCTAGAGTTGATACAGGTGCGGTCCTAGAGTTGATACAGGTGCGGTCCTAGAGTTGATACAGGTGCTGTCCTAGAGTTGATACAGGTGCGGTTCTAGAGTTCATACAGGTGCGGTTCTAGAGTTCATACAGGTACGGTCCTAGAGTTAATACAGGTACGGTCCTAGAGTTGATACAGGTACGGTCATAGAATTTATACAGATATGGTCCTAAAATTTTTACAGGTATGGCCCTAGAATTGTAAATTAAGCAGTATTATTGCATAACATCAGGGACAGCCCATCCTTGGTAAAGTAAAATAATCTACGGTAGGTTAAAAATTTAACAAAATAAAGTGAACAAAATTCACAATGTCTAGATGTCATCCAGAGGTGACGGAACTAGAGGGTTATGGAGAGTAATGTGTGACCGGAAATGGTCTGCAGTCAGTTGGTTGTTACCATGCGCCAGTGATGTTGGAGTATATAGTACAGCAATATTAAACTAGGCCTAATGAATGAATAAATTTCGGAGGTTTATACATATACAGTAATAGCAAGTAACCTCCTGTAATGGTACATTTTACTTCTTGTTTTCTGGGTATTGTTGAAATAAATAATAATATAAATTAAAAATAAATAAATAACATTTAACACAAAAATGTGATAGCAATATTGATAACATATTTTCTTTACATTACTAATACATTGTTTTTGAATAAAAGTTTATCATTAAAAAGTTAAGATATTGATATAGATAAAAATTATTTATATAATTTTGTTTCCACAGTGACGATCATACGATACCACAACCCAACAACTCACCTAACGAAACATAGGGAGTGCCGTCAAAGGATATTAAAGAATTTATTTAAAAAGGTTGAAACTTGGGCTTCGGTATTCCTAAATTGTTAAATTTATTTAACGATGAAACTAGAAAGAAAGGGGCCTACAAGAGCAAGAATTAATGATGATCATCATGAGGAATTGATTATCGCAAAGTAGGTCAGAGATCAGTGCTGGATGCGAAGGGTAGGAGTGGCTTAATGAAGTGGTGAGCAGTTGGTGCTACAAACATAAACAAAAACACCGCCTACCGGTAAACTTACTGTAGGGAGTGGCAGCAAAGGAAGTCATAACCGCAAGTAAAGTTCAGAGGGAGGAAGACATGATATTTGAACGGACATGTCAGCCTTATTTTTCAACAACCTATTTGAAAGTAACCAAGATTATGGATTTGACGGTACCAACGATTATGGACTAATACAGCGTTTATTGGGCAATATTTATAAAAAAAAAAACCCCATTAATTTACTACTGCGCATAAAAGAAATATTGTACAATTTTTAAGAAAGGCTCAGTCAGAGGGAGGAAGACAAAATATTAGATAGGATATGTCAGAATTATTTTTCAACAATCTACTTCAATTTAATTCAGTTTACTACCATGCATAAAAGCAATATTGTACAATTTTTAAGCAGAGTGTTTTTAATAATTCATTTTATTCCATTTAATTATTTTAACATCAAAATAATAAAAATAATAATAAAAAAATGAAATCAAGTTTTTTAAATAAAAATCACAATGGCTTATAAATTATAAATAAGGCAGCTTTAATAATAAAACAGAAATTAACCTTTATGAAATATATAGTAATAAAAACATAACAAAGCTAATAATAAAGTCATATTTTCAAATAATTAAAATATAACTATTACATAATTATGTTAATGAAGAAGATAACAATATATATAATATGCAAAAGTACAAATTATATAAATATAAACAATTCCATTAAAATTTTTTTGTCATTGAGAATGAAGATTGTTGATCATCTTAGATCAGAGACATGTCTATGTAGATGAGTACTGTACGGGAAGGGAGAAAGTAGCCCCTTCATATTGAGGAACATAATTGTTTAAATTTCAATATACTGTACTACAATATATTCAAAGATTTTCTAAGATAACAGTGGGTGAACGGAAAATGTTGTAAACAAAGCAAGAAGGCTATAACATCTGTGGTTTGGGGAATCATCGATAGACCAGTGAAAAAATAAACTAAAAGGATCTAGTACGGTAGTATCCCAACCAAATCAAAACCCTTCTCTTCGTTTGGCACGTGTCATGATGAAGCGTGAAACGTAACACACGTTGATATTAACTCGCTAAGATAAACAAATCTGGAATATAATTAGAAGAACGGTATTGATGTTTAAGTGTTTGTTATACACTGTCGTCATAGATTAAGATTCGAACATAAATTGACCTAGATAAATATTAATTAACTACTGTAACTGTGTAACTGTACATTTGAACTATGCATCATGGGGTCAGATCATCCAAATCCTGTAGCCGGAAACTGTATACTATAAATAAACAATATCAAATCTCTTAATTGGGCCTACAAGTGCTGGTTACCATTATAATTACTACTATATTGACTATGATTGTAATCATTATGTTCTGCACTACGCCATCATTCCTCTTAAAAATCTCCAGACGCAAACACCATCTGGATACTATTATAATCATTTATTATTTATTATTATTATTTACATTATTATTGTATTAATAATATTTTTTTTAAGGGTTCCAATTGCTTCGGCAGTTGCAGCAAGGGTTCACCATCACTGAATATGGTTCAAATATTAATTAATGAATAAATTATTAATTTAATAAAATGTAGAATTATACATTGGCTGTAAATCGTACCCTAATAAAAAACAATAGCAATGATATGTTGTCCACAAATTATTTTTATATTTTCTTAAAGTTTTCCTTGATTAATTTCTGAACTGACATTTAGATACTGTCTTGTATAGCACTATTGTCTTTCAATTTTTTAATGTATGTATTCCTAATTAATTTTCATTTTATGTACATGTCTTATTAGGCAAGAGATAAATAATGATATTTCCTTTAAGTACTATTATCAATATTTTAATAACCGTCTAGTTTAGGGGTCGTTCAACATTATAAACTTTTTCACAAATGTTAAAGTCCCTTAGTATACAAAGAGTACGCTAGGGGACTCTTACATATGCATAAAAATGTTGATTCAAAACAACATGCAATATGTAAAATAATGGTAAAATATTAATGTAACCATGGATATACAGGTAATATTAATTTTTAAGCAATCAAGCATGTTACTTTAGCTGAGAATGGTTTTGCAAAATCAACATTTTTTTATACACTTTCAAAGGAGAAGGAAGGGGTACCGAAAAAGAGTACTGTTTGTACACTTGTGAAAATGTTGGTAGTTGTGAACGACCCCTTATATGATAAATTAATCCATTATGTTTGCTATACAATAAATAAAATTAGGGGTCATCCATAATTATCAACATGTTCAAAAGAGTACAAAACATACGCTTTAGGGGGGAGGGGTTGAAAGTGTAGGCATAAGTACTCTTTTATGAAAAACATAAAATGTTGATCTCAAAATGACACAAATCAACATTTTATTGTGTACACTTTTTGGGGGAAGGGAGGGGATAACAGAAAAGAGTATGTTTTGTACTCTTTTGAAAATGTTGATAATTATGGATGACCCCTTATTGGCTATTATTAAAGCCAGGCTCCGGAGGAAAAACAAATACTGTATTGATATGTTGTACAACTGTTTTTAGACACATAAAGCATATTTGACGAAAAACTCAGGAACGGTTAATGAGATACAGATTTTGAATATTTAAAAACTGGGTGGAAAAAGCAGCATAACCACCCTTTTACCACCTTTTCCAACAGTTTTTAATATTCAAAAATCTGTATCTCATTAACCGTTCTCAAGCTTTTCATCAAATATGCTTTTTGTGTCTTAGAAAAATCAGTTCTACATATCAACAATTTTTCCTGGCTTTAATACTATTATTTATTTATTAATTATTATTAAAATATTGTTACTGTTGTTATAATGAGATATGCTTAGATATTGTAGTACAAGCTCTGTGTTTCTGGATTGTCTAAGTTTTCAGAAATTTTTCTAAGAAATGATTAAATTATAGTTTTATAGTAAGACTGCAATCTAGTTATATACTTTTAATGAATATGTAATTGATGAATGTTTATTTGGTGTTTTTGTTTCGTTAACATATTTCAATTCTATATACTGTTTTGTGCAATTGTCTGTAACATTTTATGAGCTCCATTTTTAAAGTAAACCTTAACATTATCATTCATTATTTTTTATTGTTATTATTAATAATATTGTTTGTCTTCACACAATAAATTGCTGAAAATTTCAGTGATGTAACAGACTTCTCAAGAATGTGAAAAACTTAACAAATTATGATTATCCTTATTTATTTATCATTCTTATTTTTTATTTTATTTATTTATTTATTTATTTATTTATATATATATATATATATATATATATATATCTATTTTTTTAAATAATGATTATATGTATGTATATACTGTATGTTTATATATATATATATTTATTATTTATAATTTTTATTAATTTTTTTTACACCATTTACTTATCTTAATTATTTAGGCCTACCTCAATTTTTCTAACTTTTCATGCAATTTTTGATTCTTTTGAGCTTTTTTATACTTCTGACTTCTTTGATTTTTTGTAACTTTTGCTTTAAAATTGTATTTTTTAAGTGATTGTTTGTGTTTTGTTTTTTCTATGTTACTATGTCTCATGTTAATTGTAGTTGTAACAGCACCTCGAGTCCTGATCGGTTATCCAACCTATGTTTTTCTCCCTTTTTAAACAATTCAGATAATTTTACCTCAAATATTGATCCCGATTCGATCACGACTCGACTTGCTGCTCCTTGAAACTGCCTGTTCTGTTGTCTTGTTTGTGTGCGTTTGTGCCGTGTGTTTGTTTGTTTGTTTGTTTGTCTGGGTCTCTGTGTGTTCTTGTGAGTCTGTGTCCAGGCCTGCCCATCACAAGATTTTTTTTTCAAATCTTCTCGGGCTTGTGCCTTCTTCCTTTTGAATTTTTTCCTCATAAACTGATTTTTTGTATTTTTCTGTATGATTGCAATTGGAAGTTAATAAATGTCTTTTGAGATTCTTGAAGTTTTCCACCCAGTCTAAAATTCATGGCTCTCCACCCACCTTTATTAACCCCCTTGCCCATCCTTACAATCCACTCTTATTATTTAGAGTTTACCCAATGTTGATCACCTATCCACCCTTTTAAAATTTCTACCACCCACCCTTAGTTTTATACAGCTACAACACTGCCTTAGCAACAATATCCAAGGGAATGGTCCATTGGTTGATGAATCCAATTGGTCCATGAGTGTATTATGTCCACAGTTTATTTTACATAGCTTCTATAATGCTCGATCCACAGTATCAATTTGACGTGACAAATACCTGGGTTTAGCCCACATATGAATTTGCTAAAACAACACCATGCTCACATATAGGCAAATCACACATTAAACTTGACAGCATGAAAAAAGTTTATTGTTTTTGTTGAGCATCTGAACTGTATATAAATCCAGAGTTATTATTACTGTTAGTAATAACAATATTGTTATTGTTGCTATTAATATATTATTATAATATTATAGTATTATTATTATCATCATTATTATAATTTATATTATTTTTATTATCAATATCTTTTTTTTAATATTTATTAATCTAGTGGTGCTAAAATATTTTAAGAATTAAAGTATATTTTTAATAAAACTAATTAATATACACTCATTCAGATTGTACACACTGTTAAACAACATAGTAGTTTATATGAAATGTTACGCAAATATAATTCTCTTATGATAGAATTACTTGTACATGAATAGCAGGTCATTTTGGAGAAGAAATTTGCTGACAATAAATGTTAATATTTGAACTAGCCAAAAAGATAAATTTTTCAATAAAACAATACAAACAATAATTATGTGTACTTTGATTCTATTTTTCTAATAATTATAAACATCGCCAACATTACACTGATTTTATAATACAATGTTACCATAATTTCCACCATCATACCATTATTATGGCTGCTATCATTATCAGCATAATTATTGAATGATAATATATATGTTGAAGGTACTAATAGATTTATTGAAATGAGATTTAGAGCTAATGAAGACGGGGTTGATGAGACTAATGTTGCCTAAATAAAATTTGCCCTTTCTTATGAACAATTGTAGGGCATGGATGGGTAAAAGAAGTTGTTGTAAATAATATTCTAATGAAGCATAATGTACAAATATAGCAAATTGAATTTGAGCAATTAACTATTGTCCAACACTGTGCCAAAAGAAATGTGTAAATACTGCCCTCTGTTGGTTTGTTACTTTACCTAAAAGAACAAACCAAAACAAGAATAAATTTTGTATTTCTCTTATCTTTAATTTTAATCATAAAAGAACCCTTTAAAAGAAATTTCAGGGTGGTGGAGGGGGCACACCATGATATTTTCAAGCCTGATTGATGATGAAAAAGATATTGATATTTTTGTAGATATTGGTGATAAAATGATTTAATCATTTTATCACCAATATCTACAAAAATATCAATATCTTGATCATGATAAATGATATTGATGATAATATGTTCATGATGACGATAATGCTAATGTTATGATAACAATGATGATGATGAACATCAATCAATTATTGCTTTTACATGGCACCATGCCAACATTTATAGTACATGGCTTAATTGTCATGAGATCCATTGAATGAAGCTCATTATGATGATAATTATAAATATTCATTCTTATTATTACCTCTGTCAAGAGTTTGTTTTTGTCTGTCTAGGCATTGTCACAGTAAAAAAAATAATAGAATCATTAAATGCCATGCATGGCTAATTCGGTAATCAGGCACAGACGAAAGTATGCACTGCTATGGACACATATTGTTTAAAAGTAAATTTAAGAACATCATGATCAAGCCAATATTCTTATTCTCATCAATGTGTTATTTCTTCTCTCTTTTTGCATTTTCTTTTTTTCTCTTGTTTTTCACGTAATACCTTTTTGATGTTAATGACTTTTTAATGTTTGTGAAATTTTAATTGTTGTTTTAAACATTTTTACTGTCAATTTTATGTAAATTTTATATGTTTGTCTTAGATGCCAATAAATCAAATTAAATAAAAAATAAAAAAATCAAGTATAGTGCAGTGTAGCTATTTTTAGCATGATTGAACATATAACTCTATAATTGAAAGCAAAGCACAATTCCCTTTGCACCACAATATCCTCACAAAGCTATTAGAGAAGCTAGCATAAGAGGGATTATATTACACTCTTTCTGCATTAAATTTCCAAGATCTACATTAAGCATGCATATGGAAGGAAAACAGATCATATTTTAATGTTGCAATAGAGGCATTACAGAAACTAAGTAGATAATACATACAAACACCAATTCAACAGAGACATTACTAAAGAAACCTCAACTGTTACGTGTTGTGGTTCTATCAAAAAGATATTCATAAACAGAGAGAACACTTTGTAAATGATCAATCAAATCTGTACCTCAGTAGAGGGCAACATAGTCATTCCCCAAACATCAACTACTTCTACTGTACTGTATCAGAAAGTTATATTGTATATTATGGAGAAAATATCCCTACAAATCTGTGACACTAGAGTTAGAGTTGTACCACATAATTCGCAAATGTTTTTGAAACCATAACATTACCCTTTCCTATACTTTAACACATACACTTACCATTTCTTACACTTAAACTGATCGCACTGTAAATTCTCCATAGTAATACCCTCCATAGTAATACCCACTTTATGTCAAATGACCACCTATAAACAAACCTCGCCGAATGTGTCTATTGCTGTTTCATAGTTTCATTACTTAAACTAACTAAATCCTTTCCGAGCCACCAGAGCTGGAGGTTATCCCCAGTTTCTGTAGTGTGAAGCGGATGAGAGTTGTACTCCCCCAGGACGGGACACTAGTCCGTCGCAGGTTAGTCCCCAGCAGTTTGCTGGTACCCATTGATACAGCTGGGTGGACTGAAGCAATGTAGCTAAAGTGCTTTGCTCAAGAACACAAGCGAATCTGCACAGCGGAGACTCGAAACTCTGACCTTACGATTGAAAGCCCAAACGTCAACCGCTGCGCCAAACTGCCGCTATAATAGTTCCATTACACTTGCCTTTAATTTATAATCTAGATTCTCATAATAAGTAACTGAGGCTTTTCTAATTCATGAGAAAAATCTTCAATTTGAAAGGATTTTAACCTAAAAACTGAGAATTATAAGGCAAGCTTCTTAACCACAAAACCAGATATACTATAAAGTCCTTGGTAGAATAAATAAATTAGTGCAACAGCTTGCAAAATCTGGATATCATATGTCTGATGGAAGTGTCATAATACTGAAATCAATAATTTAAAAACAGTACAGCTTTAAACTGACTATTGTAATACACTGTGGCAAAAGGTACCGTAAATGTAAATAACTACTGCTGGCAAAGATTCAAAGCTGTATCAACGAAGAACCATACGTCATACAGTTTGAAAAAAACCATTAAGTATTATCATTATCATAATTAAACCTACGTTGGAATTGAAAGTGAAGCCATCATCTGATAGTTCATAGAAACTGTACAGTGGTAATAGAAGCATACCAGGAAGTGGCAGTAGAAAATACTGGTAGGGATGGCGCAGCAGGCATGGTGCTTTGACAGCGTAAGCCATGTGTGCACATGTTCGGTTCCACAACCTTCACTTGATGTACCCAAGTTACCATTAATGGATGGCTCAATAGGTAAGTTGAAGCTTTATTTAAAAGTGCCATAGCCAGAATATAAGTGTAAGATTGTTTGGTTTCAGTTGCTTAGATCATGGAGCTACTGTATACAATTTTATAGCTTCATGCTCAGATACAGGGTATACTCTGCATTTCCCTATCCGTAATTTCTGGCAAACATTCTCCACCAAAGTCTAGCCTTTTTACACTTCAAATCTCAAATTGGTGTGGAGGAAAAAACATTAGATTTTCTGGACCTATTACTGGAATGCGATAATTGGCCATTAAATTATAAAAACATAAGATAAAATACAGTAATAGATAAGTCATGAATACACTTTTAACACAAGATGATTCACAAATATTGTCATAGTGTTTCATTAAAATTAAATTGAAATAGAAAATAAATTTGACAGGACTGTTATTAGAATATGCAGTCCTTTTCACTGGTATTTATATATTTATTTATATATTTCATTATATATTTCTTTATAAATTCATTTATATATTTATTTATTGCCTTGATAGCGTATCCAACAGCTGCTCTAATATCCACATTCAAATCTCCACCCAAAAAAAGATAGAAGGTTTCAGCATGAAATAGAAATTTCAAAATAAATACTATACATTGTGATGGAAGGGGAAAACCTTTTTTTTATACAAAAAAGTCCAAAAATGAAAATGATATTAAAATATTTATCATTAAATCAATTCATCTAATTGCTTTCCTCTTGTGAGCATGAGATAGTTTAACATAAAAAAGCTAAATATAGATATAGTACAAATCAATTAACAGATCAATGTAGGAAAAAAATCAATATTTATATTTCAATGATAGAACCTGACTAAAAGAAATGTTGATGCAGAGAGCCACTATAATAAGTACAGAAAGGATTAGTTGCTAATGAACAATTGCCAAATAGCCAATCAAGTATGGCGATCTTAGGATGCGTACATGTGCAACAGAAATATTGATGAAATCACGCTGAAAATATGTTTATTCTTGGATCTGCATATATTAACAATGAACTTTTACCTCTAGGGTTTTTGTCTTCAAAATCTAATGTGGCAATCATTTGTGTTTTGACATTAGTAGTAGTTGCTGGTATATTGACACTGCTTGTTTTTGTGTACCGACATCATCAAAGGTAATTATGTGCCTTTAATAAGATTATACACTATTGATTTTAAATAACAGATGTAGTCATCCACGAACAGTAGTCTTCTATAAATTTCTGTCGTCAGTTTAAACCACAATCCTCTGTGCAAGTTTATACATTACGATCAAATCTGATACTGATAACAGTAGTATAATACATACTCCAAGTATCAAAATGCAAGCCATTGTGTTGGGATTCAATATTTCAACATTAATCATCATCAGGAATAACAGTGGCGGATCAAGGAATTTGAAATTGAGGGGGCCCAGGGAGGGACTTTGACAGATGGAGAGTCTATACTCACCATGGTTGGGGCTGAGGTAAGAAAATTTAAGATTATGGCCTCTCTAGATGGCTGGAAATGGCACTCTCAGAATTTGAATGTAATTTTTTTTTCTCCAACTAAATTTAGAGGGGGGGGGGGGCAGGCTGGCTGGGCCTTCCCCCTTGAATCTGCTACTGGATAATCCCACCTATATGTCTAACTGAATTATCGATAGATTAAAAAAAAAAATTATTGATTCAATAGACCGAATTAGTCACCAAACCAAAGCCGTTATAGTGGGTATCATCAAAACAAACTGCTAGGTGGCAGTTATTTTACACAATAATAAGCCTCCGCTTGAGTAAATTCTGAAAATTTTTTAACTCCTCAAACTTTATTTATTTGTACACTTTACTGTAAAATAACTTTCTGAAAAGACTTGGTAAATATTTCTTTAATAAATGTTACAGTATTGACTCGTTAAATTTGAAATGGAGTGAAAGAAACAAAAAATGGAAAACTTGAATAAACAACACTCTTCTGACTACAATTCAGCAATTTAAGTTTGTCTAATAGTTTAAATATTTCATACAGAAATTGCAACAAAATGACTTGGGGACAGTATTTAAGCTGAATATGTACCTCTAAATCAACAGTGATCACCTTAGTCAGCACTGGATGTTGTGAGTCCCGCGAGTGACGAGCCTAGGCCCCCTAGAAGGCCTCTCGAAATTCTTCATATTTTTAGTCTGAATGGAAATTTAAATAAAATCAACCTTAATCTCATGAATTTATGAATCATTCAAAATGTATTCATTGTTATAAAAAGTATCTTCTACTCTAACTTCATTACATTTTAGACGATTTAACAGACACCACTTTCGACTTTGCTCAATGCATCAGCTTAGGACTTTATGATGTAAACATCTTTACAAAACCATTCGGCCAAATTTTTATGACGTCATCTTTGGTGACTAATAACCTGCCTAACTGAATTAGCTTAGAACAAAAATATCAACTCCTACACCTCAGATTAAAATGTTTTCATTGTACAATAAGCTCATCTAAGCATAACTAAAGTATCTTATAAACTACAATGTCTTAATATTGTAGTTTGATTCACACAACTTCTAGTTTTTACTAAAAATTATTTTATCTTAAATATTTCAGGATAAAAAGCGGTTTATTGAACAATGCATCGAATTATAATTTTCATGACTCAAGCCAAGTACTGCCTATGCAAGAGTCAGAAGTCGGCAAGATTAATTTGAATGACTGGGACCAGGTGTCCAGAACTTAAACCAGGTGGGGAGTGTGTATGATAGCAGCCTGGTTCTCACAAGAGCACTAGTATCCGGATCGGGAGCTACCGTTAGCACCTGCGTGAGAACGCCCGATCGGTTACCGCTAACGGTTAGCAAGTTGAGCGTGTTTCTATCATCAACCAATGATAGCAGGATCCGGATCCTGCTAACCGTTAGCAGCCGTGTGAGAACATAGCCAGCGACTAGTTGCTAAACATCATGTAACTAAAACCAGGTGGTTAAAATCTTGTATCATAACCAGATGGACTAGAATAAGTAGCAAGACCAAGTGGCAAACACTTGAAAATGGGAGAAAAGAAATGAAAGTTCTGTTTGCACTTGCACAGTTTGCAACAATATATTGTAATTTAATAGCAATCATACACTTGAAACTCATCATGGTCCAGTACCCTGGATTTCCAGGGTAAGCCTTAATTACATTGATTTATTTATAAAAAAAAATTGTTATCATTAATATTTAGTCTACATATAAAACATTCCTCTGTGCCTAATATAATAAACAAGATTTAAGGTAATATGTGGTCATTTTTAACTACTACTTTTACTACTACAATTCTTTTGCTCTGCAAATTTCCATATTTTCCATTCCCTGCCCGCTATAGATATGATTGTAAAACCATGGGCCTATTAATATGTATATCCATTTAGCCAATCATACAATGAGAATGAAATAAGGCAATTGAATTGCTTATATTATAAATGTATGTGGGATATGCAGGTGTATTTAAGTGTATATGCAGGTGTTAAGCTTATCTGCAGATGTAAGCAACTAATGACATGTGTCTCTGTTAATTTGAGTGTGCAGGGGCAGTCTCAAGGTGGAGGGGGCCCAGCCTGCATAGGCCTTCTTATATTTTTGAATTTCATTTAAAATGTGAGAAAGAGAAAATTACATTTAAATTTGAAGTGTGAAAGTGTCATTTTTTACCATTTAGAGGTGTCTTACCGATATTATTAATAATAATATCTTGAATTTATATGGCGCCAATTCTAAACAAGATCAAAGGCGCAACGCATGTGAATAGCTACCAGAAAACAAGTAAGTCTTAAGCTGTGACTGCAAATAGAGTTGGAAAAAGTTATACTATTTGGAACCTGGGAAAAATTATACTATTTGGAAGCTGGTCCCAAAAAAAGGCAGAAGTATAAGTGAAAGAACAATGACCATAGATTTTGGTACAGTATTTAGACAGAACGAAGGTTTATAAAGGAGGGTCTGAGGCGGCGAGATGGAGTACTGTATATCAGGAAAACAGTGAACGCAAATATTATGGTTTATTCGGATGGCGAGCTTTAAAGATCAAAACAATCAATTTAAATATAACACATTGCCTGATTGGCAGCCAATGAAGTTCACACAGTAAAGGATTGGCATGATCATACTTTCAATACCAGTACATATACGGGCAGCGTTGTTCTGAATGCGTTGAAAATGCTTGTAGAATTCCTGGGGAATGCCAACCAACAGAGATGCGCCACGCCAATCAAGCCGCGTGATGTCAGCGCATAAACAAGTATTTTAACCGATTTGGATTTAAGAAACTTCATGATTTTTCCAATGTTACAAATGTAGTAATTAGCCGACTTGCATATACAGAACATGTTCCTCAAAAGTACCACCAAGGTTTATATATCAATACACCATGGTCTGGACCACCTATAAAAGTTCCTTGTTTGGCCCTTTCTATTTCAACTTGCTTCATGTGTGGGTATAGGTGAGTGAGGTTGTGTCTATGTGGGTTTATTTTATTTAAATTTGAAAAGATTATATTTATATCATAAAAGTAAGTCAACTTTATGGTTACCTTATATGGTATATGTTTTTATACATGGAATATATATTTTATTGTTCTTCTCGTCTATTATGAATTCTAAAAGATAAATATTATAAATTATGTATGTATGTATGTATATATGTTTATGTTGGCAGGACTGAATCTATTTGATACACAAGTAAACACCAGTGCCTTGATAATTTATAAACCTGCACTCTGTCATATCATTTCCGATTGAGATTAAACACATACTGTGATGCTAGGCCGAGGTCAAGTAAAACAGCCGACAATGTTTCAATTATTTATATAAAACATTGAATTACCATTAAAGTCCAATTAAAATGATGCTTTTTAAGTTGCTGATTATTAAAGTATTACATATGTTTAACCCTTTCACTGCTGGGCCTTTTTAGGAAGAAGGTTATTTTTAAATAAATGACTAAAAGAGGTTATTTTGAAATTGTTTTTGTGTGTTGGGGTGCGAAAAATGTTGGCCTATGGGAAAAAATTTAAATTGGAATTTTTAATTAGGTGGCATTGTGACCTTGGGGTGGCCATATTGGAAATCCCTATTTCCATAAATCTGTAAAAAAAAAAGATAGAAATTCTTATGGGATACTGTTTTTTTTTCACTGGATAATGGTGTAGATACATAAAATGAATAAAAAAAAAAATCAAAAATCCATGTTTGTCAGCAGAATCGTGAAAAAAAAAATCCAAAAAAATCGCTGCAAGATGAGTTTTTCACAACAATTAGTCATTGCTCCATATAATTCAGTAGAAATCACCTCCAGTTCATAGAAACAACTATAGAGGGTGCCTGCAGTACAGGAACAATTTTAAAAAGAATTATTTTCATGCCCCCCAGTAGTACCGGGGGCACGCAGCGAAAGGGTTAACAAATGAGTGGTAATAAAATATTTAATTTTTGGTTTATAAATATTAAAAATGACGGTTTAAAATATTAGTATAAGCCCCGCCCATTGTCGATGTTCACTGAAGTGTGAGTTGAGCTGATGACGTATAACAATCACAGCCATCCTGTTTATGTAATACAAACATCGTATAGCGCAACATATGAAAGAGGTTCAGTTGTGAAGTACTGATCTAAAGAGGGAAGCAAAGAAATGAAGCAGCTTTATCAATTTGAGCCACTAGAAAGCGAATTAGGAATTGAAGACCATGCTCTGTTAGAAAAACAAATCGATTGGGCAACACTAACGAATTTTGAGCACTATACTAAATACTGTCCTACTTTAGGCCGACGGACTAGGCCTATTAAGCAGAGTAACAGCAGGAACACTCGTCAGCGTACGACGGTTAATATTAGTAATAATTACATTCTTTACGTATAAATTAGCTAATACAGTCTGTATATTAAAGCATATACTGCAAAATTTTGACATTACAATGTAACGTACGAAGCTAAAATTTGATGTACTGTACACGGCCTACGCCTTCGGCGATCATCATCACGTCACATTGTAAATTGCCTGGTTGTTTTTCATGTTATCGACTACAATAAAAAGCTAAATTTATTATTTTGGTTGTTATTATGTTGATATACAAACTGTGTGATACTCACTTTAATACAGGCCTCATAATTGGTACTGAAGAACACACGATCGAATCGGACGGCAAATAAAAGCACATGGGGAGTCCCTGAATTGGTTCGCACCTTACTCTTGTAAACAGTTACAACTTAAAACTGAACCACGAAGCAGGCCACAAAGCAGAGGATTGACTTTTGTGTTTATGCATAATTATTTTTCTGTTTTATTAATAAAAGTAATTTAACTTGGTACAGTAGTATGTATTTCAATCATTAAACAATTATTAAATCACTGTGTTAACTTAAGTGATGAGCTAGAAATATTTGTACTCTTTTCACTCGACTTGCGTCATTTTTGAATGACCACACTTGAAGACGACGTTGTACTGTGCATAAGGCCTACGTCAAAACCATGCAGCAATTCCCTCCTAAAACTAGCATTCATTTATCACGAGCGAAATTCAAAACAGCATGTGGGCTTAAGCCTGTATTTTATTGTAGGATAAATCATCACAACAAAACAAATAAAATTTAAATTTCATTCAAACATATTTATCAACGTCGTCACAAAACGTCCAAACACCGTTAAATTGGGTCGAGCCGGCCCCGATTGAGCGTCGGCGAAGAACATCTGAAGAAAGACCATGTTGTTGAGAACAAGTGATCCGCCCTACGAACGAAGTAGGCTTTAAGCAAGAAGTAATATAACATTAAATATGCGTGTATATTTTTTTTGGTAAGATACTGTAAACCCATAATCATCACTAATATTAAGTCAAAACAAATTTGTGCCGAGCGGCCTGATTGAGCGAAGAACATCGAGGAAAACGACGTTGTAGAGAGCACGTGATCCACCTTACTATGACGTATTCTAGCAAAAATTAAACAACTTCGTCGGTCATAAATAGCATATACAATAATAATATACGTGTATTTTGTGTAAAATATTTAATCATCATGAATAAAGTAAGTCAAAACAAATAGTTTTAATGTTTTATTCAAACACATTTGCTGTATGTAGCGAGTACAGGCTCCGTGGTATGGGGTGGATGCAGAGAATAGGGCCTAGCTAGGCCTAGCCCTACTCGCATTCTCGCTCTTACGTTGTGGTCATAACGTGATGCCGACGGTAATTTTGAGGGCTGCTAATATATGTTTTGAATGTTATTTAATAATTACTCTCCGAATTTCCAGCGTATGATTACCCTAGGCCTTCGATATGTTTATTATATAATTCTTTATTGCTTTATGACATTTTAAAAATAACTAGACTATGTCATTTTAGATGGAATTTAAGTCTAAATGGAAACTGGCAAAAATAAAACTAGTCATAAAAACAGACACAACAAAATCAAAATGAGCAAAAATTTCATTGAAGTAATTGTCGATAAAATACAAAAATAACCATAAAGAGACAATAAAAACATTGTACGGTATCGGATGTTTATAGCCCTATATATGGTTAGTTTAGGAATTATTGATGTATTTTTTTATATACAAATGACAATGTTAATCATAATTCCAACAATAATTTTCTATTTAATGATATTAATATTGTAATGATTAATTTATAATTGTAATATTTTTTTTATAGTTCAACTATAAAAAAACTATAATATACAAGGGGAAAAATACATTTATTATTTTTATTACCTGGAGTTGAATCTCAGCAATAATAGGGGATATTTGACAGCACTGAAGAAAAGCCAATACATTTTCCAGACAATCTGAAATGTAAACAACACAATTCTATGAATTATACCAGCAAAAATAAATATGTAGATTACATTCACCTCTGTTAAGTAAATAAAGCTTTAATCGATCCAACATGTGACAGTGATGCTATCAGAGAGAAAAAAAAAAAAAAAATGAAACTTGTTTGGATTAAAGAAAATTTCATATTTATTTATTTATTTATTACATATTCGGCAGCAGACAATGTCCAGAGGGTGCCAAGAGGACACATCCATGGACTGAAAGCCCAACATAAGATGTGAGAATCCTCTAAACCCCCTTGACTAAATAAACATACAATAAATTACAAAACAGCACAAAGGACATAGAATAACATTAATGAATATACAAATAGAATGACATTAATGAAGACATACAAATTAAACAATTCTCATTATATCTAGAGGATGATGTACATTAATATAAATATAATAATATAATTTTTTATAAATAGAAATTTTCATTGAATTTATCCTGACATATTATTACCTCTGCTACGACAAAAAAAGTCCCCTGATTATCGAGATGGAAATTAACATAAATGCAAATGTTGATCATCTTGATTAACAGTGTTTACCTAATTTCAAGTAGGTGGTGTTCCACTTTGTGTTTAAGAAATGTGATACAGAAAACTGAGCTGCTGCATCCTACAATTAGATAATAATGTACATACAAATTAATATATATGCAAATTCAAGATTCAAGACTCATTTATTGACTTGTCCATAAAAAGTCCAAGTACAATTTAAAAATAATGAACATTAAAATATAAGTAAAACACAAAATATATACAGTACGTTTAAAAAATGAAATGTTAAAAAATATTAAGAATCATTGTAAATATGTAAAAAAGTAATGAATACCCTATTGTTTGAATAAATACACCACTTTGAATATACAACCTTTCAAATAAATGTCCCTTCCAGAATAATATTTGGATACTTGAATACAGTGAATGCCAGCGGTATTTGTTTCTACTTCTTAAAAATAGACACTCCTCTCCTATATGAGTGTTTTGTTATTCTTTCATAAATACAATTTTCCCATTATCAGTTCAGCTGAGCATAGCCAATAAGATTCTGTACGTACCTTATTGCTTAAATAATCAGCCAATAAGAAGCGCAGGTACAATTCAACTGACCAATGAAAAGATCTCACTTTAAACATCAACCACTGTATACCTTCATTGTCACTTTCTGCATACAAAAAAAACCAATTTAATTTTGTGTATTAATGGCTGTATTATTGTACAAACAACATGGTACTTAAATTCAAGAGCACATTTTAAGAATTCATTCTTGCGAAATTTTCAGAAATTTTCTCAAAACCAAATAGAATACCTCTCTCAGAATCAGTCAATCTACCCACTATCAAATGTTGAATCACATTGATAATGTATACTTCTTTACACATCTGTTTGTTTACACATCTTTACACATCTGAAATTGTGCTTCACAATATCTGATGAAGTCTGTTCAAACATTGACAAATGTGATTGATAAAAAAATCTGTTGCTGTACACTTAGTCAAAATTATTTTCTGCTTGTTATCTTTTCTTTTTGTAAAGTGCATTGAGGCTTTTTTGCGGAATGCGCTATAGAAGTATGGAATTATACATTACATTATTTAGAGCAATTAACAGCAATAATTAGAAATTAATAACAATATTATCTGTCCTCTTGATCTGCTGGATGTATTACCCTAGTAAATTCTAAAATAAAAAATATTAGTGGAAGCTCACCCATCCATTTTTCATTAAGAGTCTTGCATAGAATTTGCAGGAGTGTCTTGCTCAGTTCTTTAACATCTTCTCTGTTTACACATTCCACAGTGCCATCCCATAATACTATGCTTTCATTAATGAAAGAAGCTAGACAGAGCATGATTGGAAATATATGGTCTCTTTCAATGCTTTTAGCAATCGTGGTTCCACTTATCGATGTATCCAATATAATCTTTAACAGCTGCAGACTTAGAAGCAAGTTGATTCGAGGGCGCATGGTACCATGGAGATGACTACCATGGATATGACCGCCATTGAGATAATCACCATGGAAACAATCACCTTGGAGACTATGGTTGTTTTCACCATGGAAATCGTTATCATGGTGATATAAATTCGGATAAATGCAAACTTCCAGGAGTTCTTGTCTTGATAATACAGCTGGTTTCAAGAATGGATAGTTTGGTTGCCTTGGAGGCTTGAACGACTGTAAAAATACCAACAAAAACAAGCAATTTAAAAAACACACTTTGTTTATTAACATTCATATCAATTGATGATTTTGAATTAAAATAAAATCATATTTTTGGCCAATTAGCGCACCCGCCGCCACGAAAAAAAGAAATTTCAGAAAAGAATAAAAGTTTTTCTTTAATTTTATTATGCCAGCAGCTGCCTTGAAATCTCCAAAAATAAGATATGTATATTCCTATCTAATTTAAAGCATTTAACCCTCCCATTACTACACTGTTTACATTCAACAATAAAATTTTATTTTTATTTTCTCTTCCGTCTGGATGTTTTTGGCAAAAACCATTTGCTAAATAAGAAAATAAAATTTTATTTTGATTTTGTTTCCGCCTCCTCTGACATCTTTTAAAAAATAAGTTTACAAAACAAGGTGTAAAAAAGCCTCGCCTTAGGAAGTATGTATGAATAATAAATCACTATATGTCACTAACTTACAGCAAGTAACTAATGTATGTATGAATAATAAATCACTATATGTCACTAACTTACAGCAAATAACTAATGATTCAAATGACAAGTTTTAAGACCATCAAGAAATGTGAATACAAATAATAGAAATGTTTTTAATATCAATTATATGCATTCATTACACCATGTGGCATATGTGGAAAAGACAAGCCAAACCAGTCACTCATCGCAAAAATTAATTTTTAGTTATTAATACAGGGTTATAGAGTATAATGAGAGCTATCAAACGGTAAAAAAATCATTTAAATCCGACATTTCTTTATGAAGTTACAGGAGTTTAACCATACAGATAGTTTAAGAACAATATTTGAGAAATCAGCCTTTAAAGCTTACGATTTTAGGCATTTCTTAGGCAGAAACCATTACCAAATTGTTAAAAATTGTTGTTTTAACATTGAAAATGAGGAAAATAACATCATAGCACGATGTACAGATATATAGAGGTTAGTTTAGTGCAATAAAATAGATTTCAAAAATTTTGACATTTCAGCATGTTTTGGCCATTATCTCCAATACAGGATTTGCGACGAGTGATTGGTTTGGCTTGTCTATGCCACAAATTCTAAAAATCTCAATTGATGCTAATTGGTTCTTAGGAGAACCGTTTGGCTAGTAATATCCCATGACTTTGATTAGTATACTCTAAACCTCTTTATGGGAAGAACAATGAACAGCTGTAAGGAATGTTTTTGCAATTTATTATATCAAGTCTGATAGGTAATGAAATATTATGTGTGAAATTAATAGAGAATCAATTAATAAAAAAAAACACCAAGAAGAGTAAATGGGTACCAGAGAGGCTGCAAATTGGACATAATAAATGAATACAATATTCTTTTGAGACGAGGAATACTCCATATGTAGTGCAGTAGGCTGCACATTGTGTATTCTCCTCCAATGACCAAGGTAACAATGTGAAGTGCTTTCTGATGTTAAGACACACGCCAAAAACACTCCATAAACCACCTTACTATTACCATTATTTATATGCATGCTTCCTCTTTTCTGAGGCATTGGGGTTAAACACTGGAAAAAAAGATCAAGTTTTTGCAACAATCTAACATAAATCCACTTGGGTATAGAGTATCAAAGTGTCAAATTTTTAGGTCTATACATCCTGAAGTTTTATGACTTGGGTACTGAATATCAGGGTGTTCTCATAAAGTGACTTGGCTACAGAGAATCAGAGTACCAAATGATCAGATTTCTTGAATGGTTAAAAAAATGATGTAATACAGTAATGACAAAACATATCAGTCATATAGTCTTGTTATGAATATCGCAGTAATAGGAATAGACAGCATGCCCTCAGGTTAACTCTGTACACGACAGCTTGTCTGATCCTATTACTCATCACTCTAGTGATTAGTACGAATATTGATAACAATTTCTTTAATATTTACAACAAAGAATATGACTAATACATACCTGTAATAAAGTTTTAGTGAGATTCATAAAGTTATTCTGATGCTTATTAGATGAGAGGCTCACAGCGGTATCATAAAGTGTTATGCACAGAAAGGTCAACGTTTTCCTATGCTCTTTGTACAAGCACAGTGATGGCATCTCTTGGAATACCTAAAAAAAAAAAACCAATACAGATTGACATTGGTAGATGAACTAAGTGGTCTGTAGGGGGGGGGGGGTTGGCATTAATGGGTAAAGAATGGATAGGGGTACGAGTGCACATGTCTATTTTTTAATCAATATTATGTTTATTACAGTTTATTTGTTTACTGTAATATTAGCAACAAAAAACCTGATGAATGGTGATACAAATATGTCATTTTCCACCTTATCTTACTCATCCTTCTAATATTTAAAGGCTTATCATGCTTTACCTTAATCCTCATTATTACTGTATCATCCAAATACTTTTAAATGTACAGTTAAAAGCCTGTGCATTATCATAATTATCATCGTCAATGTCATCTTCATCATTATCATTAACATTTGTTATTGTTCTTTTATCTTATTATTTATCAAGTACCTGGGAAACTAATGGTATAACGCCTGCGTTGTTCACAGATTCCGTTAAAGCCTTTTGTATTGTTTGCCTCGGAGACTGAAATGCTATTGGACAGAAAGAGAAAGGGGGGGGGGTAGGGGGGGGGGGGTTGGCATTAATGGGTAAAGAATGGATAGGGGTACGAGTGCACATGTCTATTTTTTTAATCAATATTATGTTTATTACAGTTTATTTGTTTACTGTAATATTAGCAACAAAAAACCTGATGAATGGTGATACAAATATGTCATTTTCCACCTTATCTTACTCATCCTTCTAATATTTAAATCCTTATCATGCTTTACCTTAATCCTCATTATTACTGTATCATCCAAATACTTTTAAATGTACAGTTAAAAGCCTGTGCATTATCATAATTATCATCGTCACTGACATCTTCATCATTATCATTAACATTTGTTATTGTTCTTTTATGTTATTATTTATCAAGTACCTGGGAAACTAATGGTATAACGCCTGCGTTGTTCACAGATTCCGTTAAAGCCTTTTGTATTGTTTGCCTCGGAGACTGAAATGCTATTGGACTGACATACTGCAGTAGCTGAAAGGGGGATAAGACATTAATTACATATACAGCATAATGGTATGGGAATTTATATACTTAAAAGCTAGTATAGGAAAACTTTAAAAATATTTGTGAACATCAATGAAATTCAGTTTTAACTGTGAAATTTAAGAAATAAATAATTCTTGAATCTATTGATTAAATCAATGTGAACATAACAAAGAAGGTTGTCTTTTAGACAAAATGTACTTCCACTTCCTATAATAGAGTGGAGCTTTATCTCAGGTGGTTAAGAGGATCTGTAACATACTAGAATTTTTGTCTCACAATAAAAATAATTACACTGCATCCCTAAATCTATAAGTATCACATTGTCTCACCCTGTACTGTAATTTGCAAGTGTATTTTTTAATACAAAAACAATAACAAAATACTGTAATAACAAATACTGTTAACATCAAATATATTTGTAATGGTGAACACCTTTCGGTTTTGCTGATATATACTTCAATCTACAGTTTTGTAAATACTGTCATAATGCTTATGCAATGAATAAAATTTTGTATGGTAAATCATGTCCTCTAGAGGGCAGCAGAGAGAAGGTGCATTCACATCATAGTGGATGTAAGAAGGCTCACCAATAACTACAGTGTGTTGCACCTTGAAGATATATTTTTGCAAAGCACACCTACGTTTTTATGCCGCATTACATATTTGCTGCTAAAATTATTACCAAAATCTTAAGAAATTACCAGATGGGTAATATGTGATCTTTTTATATTCAGTAATTGAATGTGTTAATTTGATTTTTGGGGGTTTTCCAGATTTTATACACGGTATGTCTTAAAAAATAGGTTACAATCTTTCACTTACGTCTTGTACATTATTAGCATTACTTGAATTAACAAGTCTGTTGAAGGCAACAATAACTTGCTGTGGTAGCTTCAATGCTGTGTACTCTTCATACAGGTAAAAAGCTAAATGTTTATGCTGCTCTTCTGTGAAGTAATCTCTTACCCTGTTTTGAATACCAATGCTGACCATCTCAAAGGATTTCAATAACACCTGATGATGATAAAATCATTTATTAATATGTTACATATACAGTATTTTACACATGAAATATATAAAATGTCAATGTGAAGATATTTTAATGGAACAACATAGAACCATATATAAACTACCCCATCAGCCACAAACTCATTGATATAAATTGAGGGCAGTATTCAATTGAGATCAGAATTGTTAAATGATGTAAGACACATAAACTAGTCCTTCATTTACAACATTAATTAATATTAGATAATTAGAAAGCATAAAAACTGATTTGCTATAGCAACTTATGGATTCATTGCAGTGGTGTGTGGCATTTCATGAGATCATTGTGAACTGATTACTACTGTAAATCTGAAGCATCCCAGTGATTTTGTGTCAGATCATTGTAAATTTATCTCATGAAACCTATAACATCACAACTGAATTGGTTGTGATGGTACAGATATAGAATCAATCTCAGTACATCATCTAGTCTATTACCAACAACAGCCTCTCTACAATCGTAGACAGAGTCCTTTCGCCAATTAGCAATTGCTGTTGAATTGTGCAGTCAACAAGGCACTGGAGAAGCCTGTGGGAAAAGAATAACATTATGGGTGTTACAAACCATGAGAACTCATACATGCAATATGCATGGCTAACACAACTGGATTAATATACCTAACAACAATTTATATGTTAATAAATTTCAGAGGTGGATTCAAGGGTGGCCCAGTTGGCCTGGGTACTCTCCCTTAAATTTTTCAAAAATATTTACGAAAATGGCAAAAAAAAGAAAAATATATTTAAATGCAAGTCTGAGAGTGCCATTTTCAGCCATCTAAAGGTGCCATAATCATTACTTTTTCTACTGGGATGGACTCTTCATCTGTAAAAGCCCCTCCCTAGCCCCCTTCTATTTTGAATAGAGGATCCACCACTGTATATATCAGTAAAATTGCATTACATATAAAAATACACAGATAGTAGCAACACCATACTGTGAGGAGACAGGATAATTCAGTAGTGGTGTATCTCTAGGAATATATATTTGGGAGGGTGGGGGTAGTGGTAAAATAGGAAAGTTGGAGAACTAGCTGGGTGGGGTATTGAGGTGATTTTTACTACTCAAATAATTGTTTGCTGAGCCACAATTTGTTGGGTTGGAGGTAAGCTGGTGGGGCGCCTCTATTTTAGTATTTACAGTAGTGTGTACACCCCTATGCCGCCTCTTATTTTATACGATTTCTGACGATATTACTGTCTCATGTATTTTATATCATATGTTCTATGTATTAAATTTTCAAAAAATTAAAAAAATGTACATGTAAAAAAATACCCTTTGTTAAAGGAATGGTATCAGTTATTGTACTTACTTTAAATTCCCAAAACCGGTAACATTTCTTTCAAGGCAGGAAATCCACAAATCATTTGTATTACATGATAAATTCTTCATTATCCACATCAGACTCTCTGGAAGAAGTTTGAACAAATTCAGAATAAAAAATAAGGAAAACAACAGTTCACTATGTATTGGTCGGAATGCTTTGCCAAATATCCTGAAGATGACCATAGAAATATTGAATCCAAACACAATCGCATATCTGTCTATACAGGATATGGATCCTGTGGTTTATTTATACATTCATTTGCCAGAGATTAATTAGTAGACCCAACTTACAGGATGGAATAAACTCTGTAACGATCTACACAGACTACATCTCAAGGTCAGACTAAAGAACTGGAGTTTTTTTTTTAGTTTCAAGAAAAAATCTTGCTGTTTGCAAAAGGATTTAAATGGAAAGCTCTTAGTTTGAAAGGCACTATCTTACCCATCAATCTACAATTCTACTCTAAAGAAATATATTCTGAACAAATTACAATATTCTAAGAACAAATTAAGGATGAATTACAGTACCTTGATAACCAAGCAATCTATTGTCCACTCTCCAGACGGCAGTCCTGAGTGCATCTTCAACTGTGTGTGTGTGTTTAGAAATTCCATCTAATCTTTCTTCTTTTTCTTCCACCTGGAAATGCTTTTGAAACTCAGTTTCAAGCATGGCAAGATGTGAACATTTTCTTTCTATTTCTTCTGGTTCATTACAAAATGTTTTCCAAATAGTTAACAGTTGGTAACATTTTTCTAAAAACATTGCTTCTCCTTGATTTATTTCATCTGCAGGGTTAAATGGTTTAAGAGCATCAGGTACTTGTTGTCTGCAAGCACCAATACAACTATTAACACAGCATAATAAGTCATCCATAAAGACATGCAGATCACCTATACTGTCGTCAGTGGTGTTATCAGCCATGCTACCAAAATTAAATGTATTTTCCAATTCATCACTTGTTAATAGTTGCTGAAGTTTCTGGTAAAACTGAATTGGAATATTGGCACATGGTTTTACAGCATGAGGCTGTATGGTATGCGGTTTCTTGGTATGTGGTTGCCCAATACCATGTTGCTTGAAAAGAGGTTCCACAGTAAAAAGTTGCTTACTAGGAGGCTGCTCCTCTATCATCCCCAAATCCTGTCTCATTAGACTTTCTAAAAAAATGATTAAACGTGAGATACATGATGAAACAATCCTGTATAAAACACCGTCGATCCCTTTGGAATCATCTGAGTCTTCAATTCCATCTTTCCTTTTGGAATCGTCCAGCTCCTTCATTATAATGCCAAATAGAATGTCAAAAAATACAAGCAAATTCCTAAATTTATCTGGATGAACTATTCTCTGTGCCTGCTGACCAGTTAAAACGAGATCAACAATTGAATGTGTACTAGTAGGGGCATCAGGTAACATCCCACTGATAATCTCTGCTACAAAATCCTCCACCTTTTCCTGGGGCTCCACAATAATAAGATGTAGAAGTATTCGCAAAATCAACTTGGACTGGTCTACTGGAAGCGGGCTAACCATCTGTAAAGATAAAAAAAAAAAAGAAGTAGATCAAATACAAATTAGTTGTACAGGTATACATAATGATTATGGAAAACTGTAGAAAAACTCTTTAATATCAGGGACGGATCTAGGTTCACATTTGGGGGGGGGGGGGGTTCAGACTTTTTTTCATAAAAAACGCCAAAAAAAGGGAGGTTTTTGATTCTTAGATGGCGGGAAATGAGCTTTCCAGACTCCTGAGTTGTCTTTAAATGACTTTAAAGTTCTTCAAAATTCTAGGTTTTCCTACTCTTGAAAATGGTCAGGTAAACTCTCTCATTCTTATTACAGTAAATAGGCCTATTTATGTGTGTATATGTACATTTAAAAAAATAGGTACCTAAAAGGTACATGTGGCTACTGAGCTCAAAATAAGAAATACTGGTGTGGCGCTTTTCATGCACGTTCCCATGTTACATATCTCGCATTCCTGTAGTACAGTAGGCCTATCATAGGTCCAATGTCATAGTAAATTAACACTTTAATACAAAAAAAAAGAAATACTGTACTTGTGTATTCATTGTGTTATTTATTCATCTTAACACTGTATACATTGTACTTAAAACCCAAATTCTTTAGTTACACAAAAGGTAATAATATACAGAAGAGCCATGATGCGGTGCTTTTTTGAGCATTTAGGGTAATTAAAAACTATATAATCCACTGAATCCACGATTTTGTAACAAGATAGCAATAAAGGCTATTATTTTAGTTATAAGTCGGTTTATTACAGAAAACATATTTTTAAAAACTTGTTATCACTTGCAAGTTGACATCTTATTGAACATTTCAAACATTTTTGCCTACAATCTGGATGTTTAATTTTGTGAATGAAAATTTCCCAAATAGTTGTTTGTACTGAACACAATGGATCAATCAGCATACATTGTGTAATATTTTTAGCCCATTTCTTGTGTTGAACTTTTTGGTTCCTGAAAGCTGTATAACCTTAGCTTTTATGGTTACGAGCTGAGTGTTGCTTACACTCGAATTCAAAGAATGCTTTGGGTTGATAAATTCCTAAATTTGGAATGGTATCTCTTCCAACTGCTTTATTTAAATTTTTGATTTTATAAGAATATTGGTCCCAAAAACCCTCATCTTCACTGGACTTCAGTTTTCAATAGTTCAGTGTGATATGAAGCAGAACAAACAGTTTCTTGAAAATTGTCCGCAGTGGTTTGTAATTGTAATTAATTTAAGATATATATATATATATATTATATATATTTTAATGTTTTAAATATGTTACTGTATGTTACTAAAATATTATATATTATATTATATTATTATTTCTTGTATGTATGTATGTATATAAGTATTTACATTTGTTTATATTTTATTGATATTGTTTATTAATTTGTATAGAATGCATTAATATTATTTAATATACTGTAGTTAATAACATAAATATTACATATACTGTATAAAAATTAAATAATTTATTCATATATATTTTGTTGTTATATTGTTGCCATATATTTATTATACAGTATATATATATTTATTATTACCAGTATTAACAATAACAATTTTTAACATGTATAACGACTAATGAAAAATGCACATTTATAACACTAGACCTGATCATAGGTAACTATCATATCACAAGTCCAGCTGCAGACCGATGTCATCAACGAGTACAATACATTCATTATCCACCGTCAACTAAACTGCCTTAAAGAAAAACAAAATTGGTTCATGTGGGAATCGAACACACAACCTCCATGTTTGCTATTCATTATCCACCATCAACTAAACAGCCTAAAAAAAAAAAAAAAAAAAAAAAAAAAAAAAAATGGCTCATGTGGGAATCGAACCCACAACCTTAAAAAAAAAAAAAAAAATTAAAAAATTAAAAAAAAACTTGCCCCGTGTGGGAATCGAACCCACGATCGCTGAATTTACTACTCCTGATCCAGCATGACTAAACGGAGGGAGGTAAACCGCGGCCCCTAAGCCATAAATGCGATAAACCTAGTACCACACCAAGTACCAGTTAGTCAACTCTAATCCTACAAAAAAAAATTCTTTGTATATATACAATGTAGGTTAATATTATGCATGGTCATGGTGTCAAAAAATGGGCCATGGGCCAAGAGGGTTTAATTTTTTGTCTAAAAATGTAGAATTTAATTTATGATCGATTATTGATTGTTATCATCTCCATAACTTACGCACTTTTTTTTAAATAGACAAAAATGTTTGAAAAGTTCATTATGCAAATTAGAAAAAAAAATAGACTAATCATGTTACGGGAAACCTGGTGGTTGTGTGTTCAATTCCCACACGAACCAATTTTTT